GTTTGGTATTGGAATGGGGGTGGGATGGGACGGGATGTGTCTGGTATCGGGATGGGGATGACATGGGGACGGGATGAGGTGACATCTGCCCGCCCAGTGACCCCCATGTCCCCCCAGAGGAGCCGTGTCCCGGGGGGCAGCAGTACCGGGACTGTGGGGGTCCCTGCGGCCGTTCCTGCTCGGAGCCCCCCGGGGCCGGTGACTGTCCCCCTCCGGACACCCTCTGCGTGCCCGGCTGCCGCTGCCCCCCGGGGCTGCTGCTGGCCCAGGGGGGACAGTGTGTGCCCCCCGCCGCCTGCCCGTGTCCCCGCGGCGCCCGCCTGTACCCGCCCGGCGCCCGCATCCACCGCGGCTGCCAGGCCTGGTGGGTCCAGGGGGATTTGGGGGTCGCGGGGAGGTTTGGGGTGCTCACAGGACGGGGTCACCCCGGCAGAAGGTGGCGGTGGCGGTGACACATGATGAAAACCCCTCCAGCCCGGTGTGACGCCCCGCGGGGCGGAGGGGCTTTCGTCCCGTGTCCCACCGTGGGGACAGCGACGGGGGACCCCAGTGCAGGGCCCTCAGTGGGATGGGGACCCCGGGGGATGGGGGGCAGGGGACCAGCGGGATTTGGGTGCTGGGAGATGAGAATGGGGGTGCAGGGACCCCGGTGTGGGGTCTCAGCGGGATTTGGGGGGATGAGGGGCGGGGATGGGGGTGCAGGGACCCCGTTGTGGGGTCTCAGAGGGATTTGGGGGCTGAGGGGCGGGGATGGGGACACGGGGACCGCGGCATGGGGGTCTCAGCGGAATGTGGGGGCTGGACCTTGGGGCACCCCATGAGGGAGGCTCGGAGGGTGCTGGGGATGGGGGTGGGACCCCGGGGGGTCGGGTGGGATTTGGGTTCTGGAGTTGGGGGTCTCAGACGGACGGGGACCCCTCCCGCTGTCCGCAGTGTGTGCGCAGGGGGGTCGTGGCGCTGCGCCCCCGGCCCGTGTCCCCCCGGGCCGCGCTGTCCCCCGGGGCTGCGGCACGCCCCGGGCTCCTGCCTGCGCCGCTGCGACCCCGCCGAGCCCGCGGGCACCTGCGGCGGCCCCGCCGACGGCTGCGTCTGTCCCCCCGGGACGCTGTTCCTGGTGGGTGACACCCCGGGGGATGGCGGTGGGGATGGGGGTGGGGATGGGGGTGGGGATGCGGGACCCCCCGACCCCCCTCACCGCGGTCTGGCCGCAGGACGGGCGCTGCGTGCCACCGGACCAGTGTCCCTGTCACCACGGCGGGCAGCTGTACCCGCCCAACGCCACCATCGCCCGCGACTGCAACACCTGGTGGGACCCCCGGCCGCCCCCAGACCCCCTCCGGGCCCGCGGTGACACCCGCAGCCCCCGCGGTGGCACCGAGCCTGTCCCCGCAGCGTGTGCCAGGGACAGCGGTGGCACTGCGGGCGCCAGGAGTGCGCGGGGGTCTGCGTGGCCACGGGGGACCCGCACTATGTCACCTTCGATGGCCGCGCCTTCACCTTCGCGGGGGACTGCGAGTACCTGCTGGCGCGGGAGGCCACCGGGCTCTTCGCTGTCACCGCCGAGAACGTCCCCTGCGGGGCCACCGGCGTCACCTGCACCAAGTCCGTGGTGGTGGCCATGGGCAACACCGTGGTGCACATGCTGCGGGGTGAGGGGACACGGGGACACGGGGGACATGGGGACACGGGGGGCACGGGGACACGGGGACACGGGGACATGGAGAGGACACTGGGGACACGGGGACACCGTGGTGCACATGCTGCGGGGTGAGGGGACACGGGGACACGGGGGACACGGGGGACATGGGGACACCGTGGTGCACATGCTGCGGGGTGAGGGGACACGGGGGACACGGGGACACGGGGACATGGGGACACGGGGACACAGGGGACATGGGGGACACGGGGGACACGGGGACACGGGGACACCGTGGTGCACATGCTGCGGGGTGAGGGGACACGGGGGACACGGGGACACGGGGGACACGGGGACACAGGGGACATGGGGGACACGGGGGACACGGGGACACGGGGACACCGTGGTGCACATGCTGCGGGGTGAGGGGACACGGGGGACACGGGGGACACGGGGGACACGGGGACACGGGGACACGGGGGACACGGGGACACGGGGGACACGGGGGACACGGGGACACCGTGGTGCACATGCTGCGGGGTAAGGGGACACGGGGGGACACGGGGGACACGGGAGGTCACGGGGGGACACAGAGGGACACGGGGAAGTGGCGGGGTGACCCACGGCGGGGTGACCCACAGTGACACCCCAGCCCCGTCGCGGGATGTGGGGGGGCACGGAAGGGACACGCGGGGGTGACCCTCGGTGCCACACCGGCAGGGCGGGAGGTGACAGTGAACGGGGTGGCCGTGCGACCCCCGAAGGTGTTCGGGGGGTCGGGGCTGACGCTGCAGCGCGCGGGGCTCTTCCTGCTGCTCCTGACGCGCGTGGGGGTGGCCGTGCTGTGGGACGGAGGTGAGACACGGGGGGACACGGGGGGACACGGGGGTGGCCGTGCTGTGGGACGGAGGTGGGACACGCGGAGACACGGGGGACACGGGGGGACACGGGGAGCCCCTGGGGGTGCCGCCGGTCCCGCGGGGGTCCCGGGTGGCAGCGCTGGCAGCCCGGTGCCCGCCCGCAGGGACACGCGTGTACGTGCGGGTGTCCCCGCGGCTGCGGGGCCGCCTGGCCGGGCTCTGCGGCAACTTCGACGGCGACGCCGAGAACGATTTCGGGAACCGGGACGGGGCCCTCGAGGCCACCCCCGAGATCTTCGGGGACTCCTGGAGGCTCAGCCCCCTCTGCCCCGAGGCCGAGGGCCACCGCCCCCACCCCTGCGAGGTACCGGACACGGGGGACACGGGGGGACACGGGGGGACACGGGGAGACACGGGGACACGGGGAGATACGGGGGGACACGGAGGGACACGGGGGGACACGGGGAGCTGGCAGGAAGACACGGGGGGACACGGGGAGCTGGCAGGGGGGACACAGGGAGCTGGCAGGGGGACACGGGGGGACACGGGGAGCTGGCACGGGGACACGGAGAGCTGGCAGGGGGACACTGGAGGGCACAAGAGCTGGCACAGGGGGACGTTGGGGGTTACAAAAGAACACGGGGCAGTGACGGTGCCAAACCCCAGGGGGAGGAGGATGAGGAGGGGCCTTAGACTCGGCTGAACTCCCGGGGCAGTGTCCCCCCGGCACCGCTGCGATCTCCTGAGTTCGCTGAACGGGGACAATGAGGGGACACGCGGGGGTCTCTCGGTGTCCCCCCCAGGACAGCCCCCAGCGCTCGGCCTGGGCGCGGGGTCGCTGCGGGGTCCTGCGCCATCAGCTCTTCGCCCCCTGCCACGAGCTGGTGCCCCCCCAGCGCTTCTACGAGTGGTGCCTGTTCGACGCCTGCGGGTGAGTTGGGGGCGCGGGGGGTCCCCGAGCCCCGGGCGGGTCCCGGTGTGGGCCCGGTCCCACGCGCGTGTCCCAGCTGTGACAGCGGCGGGGACTGTGAGTGCCTCTGCACGGCCCTCGCCGCGTACGCCGAGGAGTGCGGCCGGCGGGGGAGAGCCCTGCGCTGGCGGAGCCAGGGGCTGTGCCGTGAGTCCGCCCGGGCTCCGGGGTACCGGGGGTACCGGGGGGTGCCGGGGGTACCGGGGGGTGTCGGGTACCGGGGGACCCGGGGGGCTCTGGGGGCGACCGGGGGTACCGGGGGGCACGAGGAACCGGGAGCGACCGGGGGTACCGGGGGCACGGGGGACTGCAGGGGTACCGGGAGTACCGGGGGTACCGGGGGTACCGGGGAACCGGGGGTACCGGGAGTGACCGGGGGTACCGGGGGGTGTCGGGGAACCGGGGGCTCCGGGGGTACCGGGGGGTGCCGGGGGTACCGGGGCTACCGGGGGGCACGGGGGTCTGGGGGGTCTGGGGGCACAGGGGTACCGGGAGTACGGGGAGCTGGGGGTACCGGCAGTGTGGGGGCCGGGGGGAACGGGGGGCACGGGGGGCACGGGGGTTGGGGAGCACAGGGAGGGTAGCGGGGGGCTGGGGGACACGGGGGGCACGGGGGGCTGGGGGGCACAGGGGGGGTACCGGGATTGGGGGCTGGGGGGCACGGGGGGGTACCGGGGGTATGGGGGGCTGGGGGTACCGGCAGTGTGGGGGCCGGGGGGCACGGGGGGGTGGGGGGCTGGGGGGCACAGGGGGCTGGGGGGCACAGGGGGCTGGGGGTATGGGGGACTGGGGGTACCGGGAGTGTGGGGGCCGGGGGGCACGGTGAGGGTCCCATCCTGTCCCCGCTCTGGAGGATCCGGGGCTGTCCCCTGAGTCTGGGGGGGCTCAGGAGAGCACAGGAGGGCCCGAGGGGGGCCGAGGACACGGGGGGCCGGGCAGTGGGTCTGGGGGTGCAGGAGCCCCCACAGGGACCAAGGCGCAGTGGGGGGGTCCCCCGTGGGGCTGTGGGATGAGGGGGGCGAGCGCCTCGGTGGTGTTTGGGGGGTCCCAGGCTGTGCAGTGGGGGGTCCCAGCCCCCCTAACCCCCCAATCTCCGCAGCCCTGCAGTGCGAGGGGGGCAGGAGTACAGCCCTTGCGGCCCCCCCTGCCCCCCCACCTGCCGCGACCTCGGCCGGGCCCCCCCCGAGCTCTGCGGGGCCCTGGGGTGCCTCGAGGGGTGCTTCTGCCCCCCCGGGCGGGTCCTGCACGGTGAGGGGTGCCTGGGGGGGGCTGGGGGGGACTGGGGGGGCTTTGGGGGTGCCTGGGGGAGAGCTGGGGGGAGCTGGGGGGGCTTTGGGGGTGCCTGGGGAGGACTGGGGGGGCTTTGGGGGTGCCTGGGGGGAGCTGGGGGGGCTTTGGGGGTGCCTGGGGGGGACTGGGGGGGCTCTGGGGGTGCCTGGGGAGGAGCTGGGGCGGCTTTGGGGTGCCTGGGGGTGCCTGGGGGGGACCGGGGGGTGACGGTGCCCCCTGTGCCCCCCAGACGGGCTGTGCGTGGAGCCCCCCGCCTGCCCCTGCTTTTGGGACGGCTTCGCCTTCCCGGCCGGCGCCACCGTCACCCAAGGGTGCAGCAACTGGTGAGGCACTGGGGGATACTGGGAGCCCGGCTGCGGTGTGCTGGGCCGGGACAGCGGGTGTGGGGACACAGGGACAGCAGGACAGCAGGATGTGGGGACAGCGGGGTGTGGGGCCACCGGGACAGCGGGACACTGGGAGACCGGGACACCCGGACACCGGGACACCGGGACACCGGGACACCGGGACACCGGGACAGCGGGACACAGGGTGTGGGGACAGCGGGACAGCGGGGTAAGGGGACACAGGGACACCGGGACAGCGGGGTGTGGGGACACCGGGACACGAGGACACTGAGACCAGGGCATGGGGACACCGGGACACCAGGACAGCGGGGTGTGGGGACACCGGGGTGTGGGGACAGCGGGGTGTGGGGACACCGGGACACTGAGAGACCGGGACACCGGGACACCGGGAGACCGGGACACCGGGATATGGAGACATGGGAGACCAGGACGTGGGGAAATCGGGACACCGGGACACCGGGATGTGGGGACACCGGGACATTGGGGCACTGTGAAACCAGGACGTGGGGTTATCGGGACACCGGGACAGCGGGGAAATGGGATATTGGGATGCCAGGACAGTGGGACACCAGGACACGGGGACAGTGGGATTTGGGACACCGGGCCAGGGGCACACCGGGACACCGGGCCAGGGGCACACCGGGACACCGGGCCAGGGGCACACCGGCAGCCCCCGGCCCCTCGTGAGTCCCGTCCGTGTCCCGCCCGCAGCACGTGCCTGGAGGGGCGCTGGCGGTGCCCCCCGAGCCCGTCCCGGTGTCCCGCCGCCCCCGGCTGCGCCCCGGGGGAGTTCCGCTGCCGGGCCGGGGGGCTCTGCGTGCCGGGGGCCTGGCTCTGCGACAACGAGGACGACTGCGGGGACGGCTCGGACGAGCTGTGCGACCCCCCCTGCGCCCCCCAACAGCCGCGCTGCCCCGGGGGGCGCTGCCTGCCCTGGGGGGCGCGCTGCGACGGTGTCACCCACTGCCCCGACGGATGGGACGAGGTGGGGTGCCCGGGCCGGGCCTGCGAGCCCCCCGATTTCGCCTGTGCCGGGGGTCGCTGCCTGCCCCCCGCGCGGCTCTGCGACGGCCGCCTCGATTGTCCCCCCGGGGATGACTCGGATGAGGCGGGTGAGTGAGCACGGGGGGTCGGGGGTCCTGGCAATGGGGGGCTGCAGGGAGTTTTGGGGTCCTGGGGAGCTGGAGAGCCCTGCAGGCTTTGAGGGCTGTGCCCATCAGTGGGGTCTCTGAGCCCCCCAATATTGGGGGTCTGTGCCCTTCAATGGGGTCTCTGAGCCCCCCAATACTGGGGGTCTGTGCTCCTCAGTGGGGTCTCTGAGCCCCCCAATATTGGGGGTCTCCCAACCCTGAGTGTCTGTGTCCCACACTGAGTGTCCCTGAGCCCCCAAACCCTGCGGGTCTGTGCCCCACACTGGGGGTCCCTGAGCACCCCAATATTGGGGGTCTGTGTCCCACACTGAGGGTCCCTGAGCCCTCCAACATTGGGGGTCTGTGCCCCTCAGTGGGGTCCCTGAGCCCCCCAACATTGGGTGTCTGTGTCCCACACTGAGGGTCCCTGAGCCCCCCAGCCCTGGGTGTCTGTGCCCCTCAGTGGGGTCCCTGAGCCCCCCAACATTGGGTGTCTGTGTCCCACACTGAGGGTCCCTGAGCCCCCCAACATTGGGGATCTGTGCCCCTCAGTGGGGACCCTGAGCCCCCCAATATTGGGGGTCTGTGCCCCTCAGTGGGGTCTCTGAGCCCCCCAGTATTTGGGGTCTCCCAACCCTGGGTGTCTGTGTCCCACACTGAGGGTCCCTGAGCCCCCCAACACTGGGTGTCTGTGCCCCACAATGGGGGTCCCTGAGCCCCCCAACTCTGGGTGTCTCTGCCCCACACTGAGGGTCCCTGAGCCCCCCAACATTGGGGGTCTGTGCCCCCCCTTGGCATCTGGGGGTCGGGGGGATGGCGCCCCTCGGGACTCCCCGGGCAGCAGAGACCCGCCGGTGCCCCGTGCGGTGCCATGCCCCAGCTCGGGATGCCCGTGCCCACCCGGGGGTCCCGTCCCCGCAGGCTGCGCCCCCCGCTGCGGGCCGGGGCAGTTCCGCTGCGGGGGGGGCCGGTGTGTCCCCTACGGCCACCGCTGCGACGGCCGCGACGACTGCGGGGACGGGAGCGACGAGAGCGGCTGCGGCTGCCCCGAGGGGCACCTGCCGTGCCCGGGGGGCGGCTGCCAGCCCCCCGCCGCTCTCTGCGACGGTCACCGCCACTGCCCCGACGGCGCCGACGAGGCCAACTGCCCCGGTGAGGGGTGCGGGGGGACGGCCGCTCCGGGACCCCCCGGGACCCCCCGGTACCGGCCCGCCGGGGACCCCCACCCGGGACTCTTCACCCTGGGACCAACCCGGGACCCCTCTGCCCCCGCACCGGCCCGCCGGGGACCCCCACCCTGGACCCTTCACCCTGGGAACCCCCACCCGGGGACCAGCCCGGGACCCCTCTGCCCTGGGACCACCCCGCGAGACCCCCGCCCACCTGGGGACCACCCCCATCCGCCCCGAGAGGCTCCCGATCCAGGGACTCCCCCCCGGGACCCCCACCCGGGACCCTTCACCCTGGGAACCCCCACCCGGGGACCAGCCCGGGACCCCTCTGCCCTGGGACCACCCCGTGAGACCCCCCCCCAACCTGGGGACCACCCCCATCCGCCCCGAGAGACTCCCCCCCGGGACCCCCACCCGGGACCCCCACCCGGCATCGCCCCTTTGGGGACCCCACCCCGTGAGCCCTTCACGCCTCTGGGACCCCCCCTGGACACCACTGCCCCGCGGCGGCGGTGTCACCGCTGTCCCCGCGTCCCCAGCGCGGGCCACCTGCGCCCCCGGTACTGTCCCCTGCCCCGACGGCTCCTGCGTGCCCGAGGCCGCCGTGTGCGACGGTGCCCGCGACTGTCGCGACGGGTGGGACGAGAGCCCGGCGGGCTGCGCGGTGGCACTGCCCCCCGCGCCGCTGGCACCTGGCACCGCTGGCACCGATATCACCGCCACTGTCACCGATATCGCCGCTGTCGCCGCTGTCACTGACACTGTCACCGCTGGCACCGATGGCACCAACACTGTCATCGATGTCACCGCCGCTGTCACCGCTGGCACCGATGGCACCGATGGCACCGACACTGTCACCGCCACTGTCACCAATATCACCGCCGCTGTCACCGCCACTGTCACCGATATCACCGCCACTGTCGCCGCCACTGTCACCGATGTCACCGACACTATCACCGATATCACCGCCACTGTCACTGATATCACCGACATTGTCGCCGATGTCACCGGCATTGTCGCCGACGCTGTCACCGCCAACACTGCCATCGCGGTCACCGGCAGCGCCATCGGCACTGTGGCGAGCACTGTCGCTGTCAGTGACTCTGACGCTATCGCCGACACCGCCACTGTCACTGTCCCCGCCACTGTCACCGCCCCGGCAGCGCCCTGCCCGCCCCGGTCCCTGCGCTGCGCCAGCGGCGGCTGCGTCCCGCGGGGGTGGCGCTGCGACGGCGACAGCGACTGTCCCGATGGCAGCGACGAGAGCGGCTGCGACCCCCCGTGCGCCCCCGGCCACCTACCCTGCGACCCCGCCTGTGTCCCCCCTCACCGCCTCTGCGACGGCGTCCCCGACTGTCGCGACAGCGCCGACGAGAGCCCCCAGCTCTGCGGTGAGACCCCCGGCATCCGTCTCCGGGGACATTTGGGGGGGCAGGCCCGGGGGTGCCCCCGTGTCGCCTCCTGGGGACCCGGGGGTTGGGGGGGGGGCGGGCCTGGGGGGTCCCCCGGGGAGGGGACAGGAAACTCAGCGGGGCGGGGGTCCCACCGGGGAGGGCTCGGCCGCGGGTGCCCCCCAGCCACACCCCCCGGGACCCCCCGAGTCCCCTCTGTGCCCCGGGGACCCCTCAGAGCCCCCGTGTCCCCCCAGAGCCCCCCGACCCCGGGACCAGCCCGCGGGGTCCCTGCGCGGAGTTCGACTGCGGGGACGGGGAGTGTGTCACCTTCCAGCAGGTAACGGGGACCGAGGGGCGGTGTCCCCGATCCCCCCTGCTGTCACCCCCAGCGTGTCCCCGACCCATTGCCAGGGACGCCCCGCTGTCCCCTGCCCCCTCCCGGTGCCACCCCCGGTGTCCCCTGTCCCTCCCGGTGCCATCCCCGCTGTCCCCTGCCCCCTCCCGGTGCCACCCCCGCTGTCCCCTGCCCCTCTCGCCCCCCCCTCCCGGTGTCCCTGACTCCCCTCACCCCCTCCGGGTGTCACCCCGGTGTCCTAGAGTCCCTGTCAGTGCCGCTTTAGCGTCCCCCGCCTCCCTGCCGGTGTCCCCGCCGGTGTCCCCGCCGTGTCCCGCAGGTGTGTGACGGGCTGCGGGACTGCGCCTCGGCCGGGGACGAGCGGGGCTGCGGCCTCTGGGGGTCCTGGGGGCCCTGGGGGTCCTGCAGCCGCCCCTGCGGGCCCGGGGGGCAGCGCCGCACCCGGGGGTGTCACCAGCGTCACCCCGGCCTGCTGCGGGGCTGCCGGGGCCAGAGCCAGCAGGAGAGACCCTGCTTCCACCGGGCCTGCCCGGGTGAGCGCGGGGGTCCCGGGGGGCTCGGGGTGCCGGGGGGCTCGGGGGGCCCGGGGGGTGTTAGGGTGCCGGGGGTGTTGGGGTGCCGGGGGATGTTGGGGTGCCGGGGGGCTCGGGGGGCCCGGGGTGTTGGGGTCCCGGGGGGTGTTGGGATGTCGGAGGTGTTGGGGTGCCGGGGGGTGTTGGGGTGCCGGGGGCTGTTGGGGTGCCGGGGGGTGTTGGGGTGCCGGGGGGCCCGGGGGGTGTTGGGGTGCCGGTTTGGGGTGCCTGGGGTATTGGGGTGCCGGGGGGTGTTGGGGTACCGGGGATGTTGGGGTGCCGGGGGGTGTTGGGGTGCCGGGGAATTTTGGGGTGCCTGGGGTATTGGGGTGCCGGGGGATGTTGGGGTGCTGGGGGGTGTTGGGGTGCCGGGGGCAGCCCCGATAGTGCCACGTCTGCCCAGTGAAGTGAGGGGGGCCCTGGGGGCACCACGGGGGAGTTGGGGGTCTCATGGGGTACCTGTGGGATTTGGGGGTCCCCACGGTTCAGGCTGCTCGGGGGGGTTTGGGGACCCCACAGCCCGAGGGTTTGGGGGTTCTGAGCCCCTTAACTCGCCCCCCCCCCCGCAGTGGACGGCGCGTGGGGCCCGTGGGGGCCCTGGTCCGACTGCCCGGGGGGCTGCGGGGGGGTCCGGCTGCGCAGGAGGGGGTGCCGGCCCCCCCAGAACGGCGGCCGCGCCTGCGAGGAGCTGCGCGGGGGGACCCCCGGAGCCCTGGAGATGGGTGGGTGGGGGGGCTCGGGGGGGTCTGGGGGCGCTGGGTGGGTCCCGTGGGACGAGGGAAGCCCACGGGGCGGGGGGCTCGGAGTGGGGTGGGGGGCCCGATGGGGTGGGGGGTCGCGGTGGGTTCCATTCGAGGGGCAGACGAGCCCCAGAGCGGGGGGCGCTCGGTGAGGGGGGGTCTCCTCAGGGTGAGGGGCTCCGTGGGACGGGAGCGGGGGGTCACGGCTGGCTCCCGCTGCGGTGGGGGGCTCAGGGGGCTGCTGGGGCGGGTGGTCTCCGTGTCTGACCCCTGCCCGCAGCCCCCTGTGCCCCGGGGGGCTGCCCCAACGCCTCGGGGTGCGCGGAGGGGCTGCGCCCCCTGCCCTGCGCCCCCTGCCCCGCCTCCTGCGCCGACCTGGCGGCCGCCGTGCCCTGCCCGCGACCCCCGCCCTGCCGCCCAGGTGAGGGGGGCACGGGGGGCTTTGGGGGGCTCCCCGGTGCGCGGGGCACCCCCTGAGCCGCCCGCTCTCCCCAGGGTGCTGGTGCCCGGCGGGGCAGGTGCTGGACGCCCCCGAGGCGGGCGCGGGGCCCGCGCGGTGCGTGCGGCCGCCGCGGTGCCCGTGCCGGGCCGGGGGCCGCCGGTACCCCCCGGGAGCCCCGGTGCCACTCGGTTGTCGCCTGTGCACCTGCCTGGAGGGGCAGCTGCGGCACTGCCGCCCCCACGCCGGCTGCTCAGGTGGGTCCCGGTACCCGCCGTCCCCGAGGGGTGCCCGGGGGTCCCGCCGCGGTTCCCGGGGGTCCCGGCTGACCCGCTGTCCCCCTCAGTGGACTGCGGGTGGTCGTCGTGGTCGCCGTGGGGGGAGTGTACGGGCGGCTGCGGGACCCCCGGCGTGCAGTGGTCGTTCCGCAGCCCCTCGGACCCGGCGCGGCGCGGCGCGGGGCGGCCCTGCCGCGGCATCTACCGCAAGGCGCGACGGTCAGCGGGCACCGGGCACCGGGGTGGCACCGGGGCGGGCACCGGGGGGCCGGGGGCGGCCCGGGGTGTGACGGTGCCGCCCGCAGGTGCCGCACGGCGCCGTGCCCGCGCTGCCGGGAGCGCGGCCGGTGGCGCAGCCCCGGGGAGCGGTGGCGCGGGGGTCCGTGCCGGGTGTGCCAGTGCCTGCCCGGTGGCACCGTCCGCTGCGCGCCCTACTGTCCCCTGCGCCGCTCCGGATGTCCCCCGGGCCGCGTGCTGCGGGAAGGGGACGGCGGCTCCTGCTGCACCTGCGGCCCCGCGGGTGAGTGGGGGGTCCCGGGGGTCCCGGGGGTCCCGGGGGTCCGGGGGAGGTGACCCCCATCCCCCGGTGCCCGTCACCGCCGTGTCCGCGCCCGCCGCAGGTGACAACGCCACGGCCACGCCGCCCGCGACCACGACAGCGCTGTCCCCCCCCGCGCCGACCGGAGCCACCGGCAGCCCCCGGTACGAGAGGGGCGCGGCGGAGCACCGGGATTTGGGGGTCCGCAAAGCGGGGGGGGTCCCCTGCTGCCCCCTCTGCCTCACGGTGCCCCCTCCAGCCCCACGGCCGGGCCCGAGGGGCTCAGGAGCGCCGAGACCCCCCCGGAGCCCCCCCGGAACCGCGACCCCACCCGAGGACACCCCGAGAGCCCCCGGAGGCTCCGCGACCCCCCGCGAGCCCCCCCAACTCCCCGCGCTGTCCTCGTGGGCTCCCACGGGGGTCCCCCCCGCGACCCCCACAGGTGAGGGGGTCCCGGGAGGTGGGGAGGAAAGGCCCCCCCGGAACGGCCCCCGGGACTGGGGGGTCCCGGTGGAACGGGGGGACGGGCCCCGAAACAGCCCCGCAGGGTGGGGGGTCCCCAAAACACGGGGGTCACCCTGCGGGGTCCGCGATGGGGTTGGGGGGCTGCACGGGGGGTCCCCAAAACACGGGGGTCACCCTGCGGGGTCCGAAATAGGGAACACCGGGGCTGGGGGGCTGCAGGGGGGGGTCCCCAAAACACGAGGTTCACCCTGCCCCACCCCCCCCATGTCCCCCAGGCTGCGTCCCCCCACCCTGGGGGGAGTGGGGGTCCTGCAGCCGCTCCTGCGGGGTGGGGGTCGCTCTGCGGCGCCGGGGGGAGACCCCGCCCGAGGGGGGCTGCGCCCACCCCCCCGACACCGACAGCCGCGTCTGCTTCCTGCGAGCCTGCCCAGGTACCCCCGAACCCCCCGAACCCCCCGAGCCCCGCGGGGTGGGGACCCCCGGCAGGGCTTTTGGGACCCCCAGAGCCTGGGGACCGCCCGGGAGCGGGACCCCTCCCTGGGCCGAGGGGCATCCTCAGGGGGCGGGGGGTCGGGGTTTGGGGTCCCCAAGCGTGGGGGGGTCGCTGCCCACTCGGGGGTCCCGGAGGGGTCCCCGATGGGGGACTCTGGGTTAGGGGCGCTCAGGGGGGTCCGCACCCCCCGTACTGGGTGAGGGGGTGTCCCTGGGGCGGTGTGGGGGTGCGGACCCCCCTGACCGCCCCGTGCCCCCCCAGTCGCGGGTGGGTGGGCGCCCTGGGGGTCCTGGAGCTCCTGCGACGCCCCGTGCGGGGGGGGGCACCGGAGCCGCCGCCGCAGCTGCAGCGACCCCCCCCCAAAAAACGGGGGGCGGCCGTGCGAGGGAGGGGCTCTGCAGAGCCGACCCTGCAACCTGCGGCCCTGCGGGGACCCCCCAGGTACGGGGGGCACCGGGGACACCCCCCAACCTTGTTCCTGCCGCCCTAAGTGCCCCCACCGCCCCTCCCTAAATCCCCCCGGACCCCCGGCCCCATAAAATCCCCTAAATCCCCTAAATCCCCTAAATCCCCCCACCCCTCCATCCCTGACTGCTCCAATGGCCTCCCCCATCCCTGACCCCCATCCCTGACCCCCCAAATTTCCCCCCCGACTCTGCCCACCCCCCGCTGACCCCCCGTGTCTCCCCCAGCCTGCGCCCCCCAAATGCTGCTGGTCCCCCCGGGGGGCTGCGCGGATCTGGGGGTCCCCCCCTGCCCCCCGACCTGTGCGGACCTGAGTGGGAACAGCTCGTGCCCGGGGGGCTGCGAGGAAGGTCGGGGGGATTTTGGGGGACACGGGGGGTGGTCTTGGGAGGGAATCGGGGGGGTGACTTGGATAGGGCTGGTGGGGGGCGCAGGGGGATTTGGGGGGCGTGGGAGGACCTGGGAACCTGGGGGGGCGTGGAGGGGGCTGAGGGGGTTTGGGGGGCTGGGAGGGCACTTAGGGAGGGTGCGGGAACTTGGGGGGCACGGAGCTGAAGCCCCCCTGAGCCGCCCCCCCACCCCCAGGCTGCCGCTGCCGGCCCGGGCTGGTCCTGCAGGGGAGCGGCTGCGTCGAGCCCGGGTACCCCAAAACCCCACTGTACCCCAACCCCATAACCCCGATACCCCTGTACCCCAAATCCCACCCGCGCCGTGAAACCCGCTGCACCCCAAACCCGTCTGCACCCCAAACCCATCTGCACCCCAAACCCACCTGCACCCCAAACCCCAGAGAACGGGGCCCCTGAGCTCTGGGGGTCTCCGAGGGGCTCCCCAGGGTTTGGAGCAGCCCCCCACTTCTCTCCAGCGCCTGTGGGGTCCCCGCGGGGGTGATGGGGGTCCCCGGGAATCGGGGCCCCCCCGAATCCTGCGGGTGGTCGCGCTGGACCCCCTGGACCCGCTGTGACTGCGGCACCGGGACCCGGCAGCGCTTCAGGTGAGGGTCCTGCCCTATAGCGGGGGTCCTGCCCCATAACGGGGGGTCCTGTCCCATAGCGGGGGTCCCGCCCCATAACAGGGGTCCTGCCCCATAACGGGGGGTATCATCCCCATAGCGGGGGGTCCTGCCCCATAACGGGGGTCCTGCCCCATAGCGGGGGTCCTGCCCCACCTCCCACTCCCCACAGGTCTCCCACCAACCCCGCGGCCGCCGAGGGCGCTGCCCCGTGCACCGGGACCCCACGGGAGGTTCGGGGCTGTCCCGAACTCTGCGGACCCGGTACGTGCCGGGACCCCCCGGGACCCCCCCGGGACCCCCCGGGACCCCCCCGGGACCTCCCCGGGACCCCCGAGCGGCACCGCGGACCCCCGAGCCCCGTGTCCGTCTGTCCCCAGAGCCCGCGGGGGGCACGGAGACCCCCGAGTCCCCAGGGCAGCCGTGGGGCACGGAGCCCACGCGGGGCACGGAGCCCACGCGGGACACGGAGCCCACCCGGGACACGGAGCCCACGCGGGGCACGGAGCCCACCCGGGACACGGAACCCACGCGGGGCACGGAGCTGCCGTGGGGCACGGAGCCCACGCGGGGCACGGAGCCCACCTGGGACACGGAGTCCACGCGGGGCACGGAACCGCCGTGGGGCACGGAGCCGCTGTGGGGCACGGAGCCCACCCGGGACACGGAGCCCACGCGGGGCACGGAGCCCACGCGGGGCCGGTGGTCGCCGTGGGGGCCGTGGGGCGGCTGCAGCGCTCGGTGCGGGGGGGGGAGAGCGGTGGCGCCGCCGGAGCTGCGGGACCCACGCGTGTCCCGGCCCCGCCCTGCAGAGCCAGAGCTGCCACAGCCACGCGTGTCGCGGTGAGCCCGCGGGGGAGACGGACACGGGGCGGGGACAGTGACACGGGGGTGTGACATGGGGCTGTGACACGGGACAGTGACACGGGAGAGTGACACGGGAGAGTGACACGGGACAGTGACACGGGGGGTGTGACACGGGGCTTTTTGGGTTTTTGGGGTCGCGGGCCGGGCGCCCCGCGGCGCTCGGGGCTGTTTGGGGTTTTTGGGGCTGTTTGGGGTTTTTGGGGCTGTTTGGGGCTGTTTGGGGTTTTTGGGGGGTTTTTGGGGTCGCGGGCCGGGCGCCCCCCGCCCTGAGCGGTTTTTGGGGTGCAGAGGCCGGGTGCCCCCCGGGCCGGACCTTCCGGGAGTGCGGGGGGGACTCGGGGTGTCCCCGGAGCTGCGCCCACCTCGGGGGGGCCGTGGGGTGCGCGGGGGGGTGCCAGGAGGGGTGTCACTGCCCCCCCGGCACCCTCCTGCACCGCCGCTCCTGCCTGCAGGTGAGACCCCCCCCCCGGCACCCATGGGTGCTCCCCGAATCCCGCGTGGGACTGGGATATGGGCGGGGGATTTGGGGATTAGTGCGGCGCCCCCAAATCCACGCGTGCCCCCAGAGTGGGTGGGGGTCGCGGGGTGGGGTTCGCGGGTTGTGGGGGTGTTCTGGGGGTGTGGGGGGGTCGCTGGGTGGGGGGAGTCACGGGGGGGGCTGAGGGACCCCCGGGGCGGTCGGGGGGTCCCCAGGGCGCTTCTGGGGGTGCCCCTCGGGACGGAACAGTGGGGGGGTCCCGGGGTGGGTGCGTGGGTGCGTGGGTGCCCCCCGGCGCCCCCCACCCCCGGCTCAGCCCCAGCAGTGCCCGTGCTCGGTGCCCGCCGCGCTGCTGCGGGGGGGCGCGCCCGGGACCCCCCCCGGGACCCCCCCCGGGACCCCCCCCGGGACCGCCCCCGGCCCGGAGCCCCCCGAGAGCCCCGCCGGGGACCCCCCGATCGTGGAGCTGCCGCCGGGCGCGACCCTGACCGTGGGGTGCGCCCGCTGGTGAGGAGGGGACCCCCGGGACCCCCGCGGTGCCCCCACAGCCCTCTGCCCCCCGAGTGCCCCCTGAGTGCCCCCCTGAGTGCCCCTCTACCCCCCAACTGCCCCCCTGCCCCCCCAACTGCCCCCAACTGCCCCTCTGCCCCCCGATTGTCCCACTGCCCCCTGAGTGCCCCTCTGCCCCCCCGATTGTCCTTCTGCCCCCCTGAGTGCCCCCCTGCCCCCCCTCTGCCCCCCAACTGCCCCCCTGCCCCCCAATTGCCCCTCTGCCCCCAACTGCCCCCCTGAGTGCCCCCTGCCCCCCCCAACTGCCCCTCTGCCCCCCAACTGCCCCTCTGCCCCCCTGAGTGCCCCTCTCCCCCCCAATCGCCCCTCTGCCCCCCCAACTGCCCCTCTGCCCCCCCGATTGTCCCTCTGCCCCTCTGCCCCCCCAATTATCCCCCTGCCCCCCAACTGCCCCCCAACTGCCCCCCAACTGCCCCTCTCCCCCCAGCTCCTGCCTGTGGGGCCGCCTGCGCTGCGCCCCCCCCGGGGGCTCCCCCTGCACCGGGACCCCCCCGGCGGCACCGACCTGCCCGAGCCCCCCGTGCGCCGGTGGGTCCCGCCCCACAGCCCCGCCCCACAGCGGGGCCGCAGCCCCACGGACCGGGGGGTGCCGGCGGGCCCGGGGCTCACGGCTGCTTTGTGCCCCACAGCGGAGCCCAGCCCCATAACGGAGCCCGGCCCCATAACGGAACTCGGACCCATATCGGAGCCCGGCCCCACAGCCGAGCCTGGCCCCACAGCAGATCTGAGCCCCATAATGGAGCCCGGTCCTATATCAGAGCCCGGCCCCACAGCGGATCTTAGCCCCACAGCCGAGTCCAGCCACATAACGGATTTCAGCCCCATATCGGAGCCCGGCCCCACAGCGGAACCCGGCCCCATAACGGATTTCAGCCCCATATCAGAGCCCGGCCCCAAATTGGAACCCGGCCCCATAACGGATTTCAGCCCTATATCGGAGCCCGGCCCCACAGCGGATCTCGGTCCCATATCAGAGCCCGGCCCCATAACAGATTTCAGCCCCATAACGGATTTCAGCCCCATATCGGGTCTCAGCCCCACACCCGATCTCGGCCCTATATCAGATCTCAGCTCCACAGCGGATCTCAGCCCTATATCGGATCCCGGCCCAATATCGGATCTCGGCCCCATATCGGATCTTGGCCCTATATCGGATCTCGGCCCTATATCGGATCTCAGCCCCACAGCCGATCCCGGCCCCACAACCCCAGGTGAGGGTCCCCCCCCCCACCCCGTGCCGCCCCCCTCTCTGCCCCTCCCCCGCACTGACCGGACCCTTCCCGCAGGGCACGAGGAGGAGCCCGGGGGGTCCCCGTGGGGCCCGTGGGGTCCGTGGGGTCTGTGGGGTCCGTGGGGGCCCTGCAGCCGGACCTGCACCGGCCCCGGGAGCCCCGCGAGCCGCGACCGGCACCGGGACTGCCCGTGGGGAGCGTGTGGGGCGGGGGGCGGCACCGAGCGGCGGCCCTGCAACGTGCCCCACTGCCAGGGTATGGGGGATTTGGGGTTTGGGGTCACCCCTGCAACGTGCCCCACTGCCGGGGTATGGGGTTTGGGGTTTGGGGTCACCCCTGCAACGTGCCCCACTGCGGGGGTATGGGATTTGGGGTTTGGGGTCACCCTGCAACGTGCCCCACTGCGGGGGTATGGGGAATTTGGGGTTTGGGGGGTCCCGCGGGGTCCGTGGCCCTCTGGGCGGGTTCTGGGGGGTCCCGCGGGGTCCGTGCCCCACTGGGGGGGTTTTTGGGGGGTCCCGCAGGGTCTCTGCCCCACTGTGGGGGATTCTGGGGTGCTGGGGGGTCCCACAGGGTCCGTGCCCCTCTGTGCGGGTTCTGGGGGATCCCGCAGGGTCCGTGCCCCACTGTGGGGGGTTCTGGGGTGATGGGGGGTCCGTGCCCCACTGTGGGGGGTTTTGGGGGGTCCCGCATTGTCTCAGCCCCCCTGTGCAGGTTCTGGGGTGCCGTGGGGTGCCGCTGACTCGGGGGTCTCCCCGCAGCCCCCCCCTGCGTGACGCCCCCCTGCCCGTGCCGCTGGAGCCCCTGGGGTCCCTGGGGGTCGTGCTCGCGGCCCTGCGGGGGGGGGCGGCAGCGGCGGCTCCGCGCCTTCGTGCCCCCCGGCCCGGGGGAGCCCTGGTGCCCCCAAATCCTGGGGGGCCACGAGCAGCGGCGGCCGTGCGGGGTGACGGCGTGTCGGGGTGCGGGGGGCGATATCGGGGGGCTGGGGGGCTGGGAGGGGGCTCTGGGGGGACACGGGGGGGGTTTGGGGTGGCCGGGGGTGGTGGGGCCGGGAGGGATGTTGGGGAGGGGGGTCAGAGGGGCTGTGGTGGGATCGGGGGCTTGTGGAGACTGGGGGGGCGTGGGGACCCCTGGGGGCTTTGGAGGGGGGGCTAAAGGGGGCTCGGGGGGCTGTGAGGGCTGTGGGAAGCGGGGGACTCGGGGGGGCTGTGAGAACCGCGGGGTTTGGGGGGGGGCTGTGAGAAGTGGGGGGCTCGGGGGGCTCCGGGGGCTGGAGGGGCTCGGGGGGGCTGTGAGAACCGGGGGGTTCGGGGGGTCTGTGGGAAGTGGGGGGCTCGGGGGGCTCAGGAGGCTCGGGGGGGCTGTGAGAACCGGGGGGCTCGGGGGTCTCGGGGGTCTCGGGGGTCTTGGGGGGACTGTGGGAACCGGGGGTCTGGGGGGGCTGTGGGAACCGGGGGTCTGGGGGGTCTCGGGGGTCTCGGGGGGCTGTGAGAACCGGGGGTCTGGGGGCGCTGTCAGTGCGGTTCAGGGGGGCTGTGGGTGTCGGGGGTCCCCGAGCGAACCCCGTGTTCCCGGGGTGTCCCCCCTGTCCCCCGCAGTGGACGGCGCGTGGTCCCCGTGGGGTCCGTGGTCGCGCTGTGACGCCCCGTGCGGGGGGGGCCGCTCCGTGCGCAGCCGCTCCTGCTCCCGACCCCCCCCAAAAAACGGGGGGCGGCCCTGCCCCGGGGGGGGGCACGAGCTGCGGGTCTGCAACACCCGGCCCTGCGGTACGGGGGTGCGGGGGGGGGGTCGGGGGGGGTCCGTGGGGGTCTCGGGGCGCTGACCGTGCCCCCCCCAGGCCCGCGGTGCCCCCCCGGGCAGACGGTGTCCCCCTGTGCCACCCGGTGCCCGCGGAGCTGCCGGGACCTGCAGGAGGGGGTGTCCTGCTCGGGGGGGGCTCCCTGCGAGCCCGGCTGCCGCTGCCCCCCCGGTGAGCCCCCCGCCCCCCCAAACCCCCCCGGGACCCCCCCACCCCCTGACCCTCGCTGTGTCCCCAGGGACCCTGGAGCAGGACGGGGGCTGCGTCCCCCCCGCGCTCTGCGAGTGCCGCGACGCGGAGGGGCACCTTTGGGTGCCGGGGGGGGGCGGCCACCCCCGGGGCTGCCGGAACTGCACCTGCGCGGGGGGGCGGCTGCGCTGCGTGCCGGGGGGCTGCGCGACCCCCGGGACCCCCCCCGGGACCCCCCCCGGGACCCCCCCCGGGACCCCACCCTGCGCCTGGAGCCGCTGGAGCCGGTGGGGACCCTGCGGTGTCACCTGCGGGGGGGGGCGGCAGGAGCGCTACCGGTGAGCGGGGGGGACACGGGGGGACACGGGGGGACATGGGGGGGGGCTTGGGAGGGGTCTGCTGGGGGGTCCCGGCCCTGGGGGGCACACGGAGCTGGGGGGGGACGCGAAACCCACGGGGGCGACGTGACACCGCGGGGGCTGCGGGTGTCACACCCCACGCCCCGTGTGAACCCCCCCATCGCCCCCCAGGACCCCCATCCCCGCCGAGGGTGGGGGGGGACCCTGCGGGGCCCCCCAGGAACAGGCTCGGCGCTGCGAGGAGACGCCGTGCCCCCCCCTGTGCCCCTGGGCGGGGGGCGAGCGGGCGCTGGGCGAGCGCTGGAGCCCCGGGCCCTGCCGCCAGTGGTGAGTTGGGGGGCTGGGGGGGCTGGGGGGGGGTGGTCTGAGAGCCCCCCACCCACCGCGTGTGTCCCCCCCCGCAGCACCTGCACCCCCGAGGGACCCCAGTGCTGGGACACCCCGTGTGCGGCCGGTATGGGGGGCCCGAGGGGGTCTGGGGGGTCCTGGGGAGGGCAGAGGGGTCACACGGGGCGCTGGGGAAGGGTCGGGGGGTGATGGGGGGTCCTGAGGGTCCCGCTGACCCCCGTGCCCCCCCAGAGCCGTGTGACTGGGGGCCTGAAGGGGGTCGGGGGGGTCCTGGGGAGGGCAGAGGGGTCACATGGGGCACTGGGGGGTCCTGGGGAGGGCAGAGGGGTCACACGGGGCACTGGGGGGTCCTGGCGGGGGCAGAGGGGTCACACGGGGCGCTGGGGGGTTCTGGAAGGGTCGGGGGGTGATGGGGGGTCCTGAGGGTCCCGGTGACCCCCGTGCCCCCCCAGAGCCGTGTGACTGGGGGCCCTGGGGACCCTGGGGACCCTGCGGAGAGCCCTGTGCGGGGGGGTCCCGCCTGCGCCACCGGCACCCCCGGAGCCCCGAGACCCCCGGGCGGGCGTGCGCGGGGGTCCGCACGCAGAGCGAGAGCTGCGCGTCCAGCGCCTGCCCCGGTAACCCCGCGCGGCCGCCCCCTCCCCGCCGCCCCGGAGCGCACCCCGGGGTGCTCAGGGCTCCCGTGCCCCCCACCCCAGACCCCGGTTGCGGCGGGGGGGGCCGGACCCGCAGCCCCTGCGCCGGGCACTGCCCCCGGACCTGCGCGGACACCTGGGCACCGGTGCTGTGCCTGCAGGGGCCGTGCCAGCCAGGTACGGCCGCGCCCCCGGGACCCCCGGGCGGCCCCACGGTGCCCGGGCACCCACGGAGCCCCCCGTGCCCCCAGGGTGCCGCTGCCCCCCCGGGCAGCTGCTGCAGGACGGGCGCTGCGTCCCCGTGAGCCGCTGCCGCTGCGGGACCCCCGGCGGGGACACCGGGACCCCCGAGGTGGCCCCCGGGAGCCGCACCCAGATCGGCTGTCACAGCTGGTGGGTGGCACGGGGGGCACCACGCGTGGGCACCGGGACACGGGGACGGCGCGGGGACAGGGGCGTGGGCAGACACGGGGGTGGCAGCGGGACGGGCGCGGGAACGGGGACAGGGTGGAACAGGCAGGGGGACAGTGGGACGGGCACAGTGACAGTGGGACAGGCACAGTGACAATGAGACAGACAGAGTGACACTGGGACAGAGTGACACTGGGACTGGTACAGGGGACAGGGTGGGACAGACAGAGTGACACTGGGACGGGCACAGTGACACTGGGACGGGCACGGGGACAGTGGGACAGACACGGGGACAGTGGGACGGGCACGGGGGACACGGTGGGACGGGCACAGTGACAATGGGACAGACACAGTGACAGTGGGACGGGCACAGTGACAGTGGGACAGGCACGGGGACAGTGGGACGGGCACGGGGGACAGGGTGGGATGGGCACAGTGACACTGGGACGGGCACGGGGGACAGGGTGGGACAGACACAGTGACAGTGGGACAGACACAGTGACACTGGGACAGACAGAGTGACACTGGGACGGGCACGGGGGACACGGTGGGACGGGCACCGTGCTGGCGGGACGGGCACCGCGGCGGTCCCACACGGCGGGACCCCACGCGCGGTGACGGTGACACGCGTGTCACCCCCGGTGCAGCACCTGCGAGAACGGGACCCTGACGTGCCCAGCGCTGGCGTGTCCCTCTCCGGGGCCCGCCACGGCCGCCACCCCCGTGTCCCCCCGGTCCTCCGTGTCCCCCGTGTCCCCCGTGTCCCCCGTGTCCCCCGCCGTGTCCCCGTGGTCCCCCTGGTCCCGCTGCTCCCGCAGCTGCGGCGGCGGCACCCGGAGGCGGCAGCGGCAGTGCCGGGAGGGCCCCGGGGCGGGGCCGCCGTGCGGGGACAGCCCCGCGGAGGAGACGGCGGCGTGTAACCCCCACGCGTGCCCCGGTGAGAGCGGGGACACCGGGAGCGGCGGGAGGGAGGGAACGGGAGGGCACGGGGAACGGGAGAGGGGAACCGGAGAGGGGAACGGGAGAGGGGAACGGGAGAGGGGAACGGAGGGACGGGAGAGGGGGACGGAGGGACGGGAACGGGAGAGGGGAACGGAGGGACGGGAGAAGGAAGGGAGGTGGAAGTACCGGGGAAGGGAGGGAGGGAGGGAGTGCACGGAGGGCCGGGGATCAGGGCGCTCCCGGTGCCGCTCCCGGTGCCATTCCCGGTGCCGTTCCGGTGCCATTCCGGTGTCGTTCCGGTGCCGCTCCCGGTACCATTCCCGGTGCCGTTCCCAGCGGGATTCCCGGTGGCCCCAAGCTGCCCCCCGGGCGAGGTTTGGCTGGACCCCGGTCCCGCCTGCGAGCGCAGCTGCCAGGACCTGGCGGAGCCCCCCGGGACGTGCGGGGGGACCCCCGCGACCCTCGGGACCCCCGTAACTCCGGACGGCTCCGGCCCCCCCGGGATCCCCGCGGCCCCCACGACTCTCGGGACCCCCGCGACTCTCGGGACCCCCTCGCCGCCCCCGCGCTGCGGCTGCGCCCCGGGCCGGTACCGGAACGGCTCCGGGCAGTGCGTGAGCGCGGGGGGCTGCGGCTGCCGGCACCGCGGGGCGCTGCGAGCGGTGAGCGGGGCGGGGGGCGCGGGCCGGGGGTCCCGGTGCCGTCTCGGGGGTCCCTGAGCGATATTTGGGGTCCCACCCCCTCCGCAGGCCGGCAGCGAGTGGCGGGAGCCGTGCGGGACCTGTCGCTGCTCCGAGGGACGCGTCACCTGCGCCACCTCCTGCCCCGCACTCAGCTGCCCGGAGGTGGGGGGCTCCGGGGGGCTCCGGGGGCGCTCGGGGGGCGCGGGGGGGTCCCGCAGGGCGCGGAGCTGAGCCCGGGGGGTCCCCGCAGGGCGCGGAGCCGGTGCGGGAGCCCGGGAGCTGCTGCCCCGTGTGCCGGGACGAGTGGCCAGGTGAGACCCCCGCAGCCCCGGGGAGGGGAGGGGCGGCCCCGGCGGCCCCCCCGCTCACACCGGGCCGCCCTCCCGGTGCAGAGGAGCCCCCCGGGCCGTGCCGGCTGCTCACGGCGCTCCGGAGCATCGCCAAGGGCGCGTGTGTGCTGCGGGGCGTGCGGGTGTCCTACTGCGCGGGGCTGTGCCGCTCCCGCACCGCCGTCAGCGCGCAGGTACCGGGGTGCGGGGCGGGGCGGGGGTCCCGGGGCTGTCCCCGCACCGGGGCCGCTCCCGCCGTGACCGCCGCCCGCAGGAGCCGTACGTGCGGTCGCTGTGCGAGTGCTGCAGTTACCGGCTGGACCCCGCGCGGCCCGTGCGGGCTCTGCTGCTGCCGTGTCCCCGCGGCCGCGCCCGCCCCGCGCTGCTGCCGCGCATCGCCGAGTGCCGCTGCGAGCGCTGCCGGGGTGCGGGACCGGGGCTCGGGGGGAACGGGGGGTCCTGCCGGGGCTCGGGGGGTCCTGCCGGGGCTCGGGGAAATGGGGAGAGCGGGGGGATCCTGCCGAGGTGCGGGGCCGGGCTGGGGGGGAACGGGGAGGTGCGGGGCTGGGGGGGGGTCCTGTCGGGGTGCGGGGCCGGGCTGGGGGGGGAACGGGGGGCTCGGGGGAACGGGGGGCTCGGGGGTCCCGCCGGGGCCCGGGGCTCGGGGGCTTCTGTCGGGGCTCGGGGGAACGGGGGGAGCGGGGTGTCCCACCGGGGCTCGGGGGGGGTCCTACCGGAACCCGAGGCTCGGGGGGTCCCGGCGAGGCTCGGGGGAACGGGGGGAACGGGGGGGTCTCACCGGGGTGCGGGACAGCGGGGGGAACGGGGGGCTCGGGGGGTCCCGCCGGGACTCGGGGGAACGGGGGAAGCTCGGGGGGGAATCCCGCCGGGGCTCGGGGCTCGGGGGGTCCCGGCGAGGCTCGGGGGGTCCTGCCGGGGCTCGGGGGGTCCTGTCGGGGCTCGGAGGGTCCCGGGGGTCCCGGGGGTCCCGGGGAGCAGCCGGCGCACCCCGGGGTGACCCGGACCCCCCGTCCCGCAGGCGGAGACTTCAACCGGCGCTGAGGAGACCCCCGGACACCGCCCCCCCCCCCCCCCGCGCCGGCATCGATCCTCATCGATCCCAATAAATCCATGGAGTCCGATAATCGATAAATCGTCATTGAGCGATAGCCTCAGCCGGGGGCACCCTGCGAGCGGGGGGGGGCACTGGGGACACTGGGATGAACTGGGGGACACTGGGGACACCCGGGGACACTCTGGGGACACTTTGGGGACACTCTGTGACACCCTGGGGACACTCGGGGACACCCTGGGGACACTTTGGGCACACTTTGGGGACAGTTTGGGGACACTCGGGGACACTCGGGGACACCCTGGGCACACTTTAGGCACACTTTGGGCACACTTTGGGCACACTTTGGGGACACTCGGGGACACCCTGGGCACACTTTGGGCACACTTCGGGCACACTTTGGGGACACTTTGGGGACACCCTGGGCACACTTTAGGCACACTTTGGGGACACTTTGGGGACACCCTGGGGACACTTTGGGGACACCCCGGGGCGCCCCGCGCCGGTGGAGGCCGCGCTCGCGTCACGGCAAAGGCGCCGCCGCGCCGGGTGATGACGTAACCGAGCGGCCAATAGCGAACGGGCGCGGCGCGGTGACGTCAGAACTGCGCGCCTCGGCGGCGGCCCGTGCGAGAGGCCGGGGCGGGAGAGGTCAGAGAGGAACGGGAACGGGAACGGGAACGGGAACGGGAATGGGATTGGGAATTGGGAATGGGATTGGGAACGGGATTGGGAATGGGGATTGGGAACGGGAACCGGAACGGGAATGGGAATGGGAATGGGAACGGGAATGGGAACGGGAACGGAATGGGATTGGAACGGGAACGGGAACGGGAACGGAATGGGATTGGAACGGGAACGGGAATGGGATTGGGGATTGGGAATGGGGAACGGGAATGGGAATGGGAACGGGAATGGGAACTGGAATGGGAACGGGAACGGGAATGGGAATGGGAACGGGAACGGGAATGGGAATGGGAATGGGAACGGGAACGGGAACGGGGACGGGAACGGGAACGGGAATGGGAATGGGGAACGGGAACGGGAACGGGAACGGGATTGGAATGGGAACGGGAACGGGAATGGGATTGGAATGGGAACGGGAATGGGATTGGGAATGGGGAATGGGAACGGGAACGGGAGTGGGGATTGGAATGGGAACGGGAACGGGATTGGGAATGGGGAACGGGAACGGGATTGGGGATTGGGAATGGGGAACGGGAATGGGAACAGGAACGGGAACGGGATTGGGAATGGGATTGGAATGGGGAACAGGAATGGGATTGGAATGGGAATGGGAATGGGATTGGGGATTGGAAATGGGGAACGGGAATGGGATTGGAACGGGAACGGGAACGGGATTGGGGATTGGAATGGGAACAGGAATGAAAATGGGAATGGCGATCGGGAATGGGAATGGGAACGGGGATTGGGGAACAGGGATCAGGAACAGGAAAGGGATTGGGAATGGGATTGGGAACGGGAACAGGGATTGGAACGGGGATTGGGATCGGGAACGGGGATTGGGAATGGGGATGGAAATGGGAATTGGGACTGGGAACAGGAACGGGAATGGGAACAGGGATTGGGATTGGGGATTGGGAATGGGATCAGGGACAGGGATTGGAACGGGAATTGGGATCGGGATCACGGATGGGAATGGGGATGGGGACAGCGGTGGGAACAGCAATGGGATCGGGGATCAGGATTGGGAATGGGAGCGGAGATGAGAATGGGACCAGGATCAGGATGGGAATGGGATTGGGATTGGGATCTGGAATGGGAATGGGACTTAGAATGGGAACGGGAGTGGGGAACGAGAACGGGACCGGGATTGGTGATTGGAATGGGGATGGGAGCGGGGATTGGAACGGGAACGGGGATGGGAATGGGACTGGGATTGGGGATTGGAATGGGGATGGGAACGGGAATGGGGATGGGAATGGGGATGGGGATGGGAATGGGGATGGGAATGGGACTGGGATTGGGGATTGGGGATTGGTGATTGGAATGTGGATGGGAATGGGACTGGGATTGGGATTGGGATCTGGAGCGGGATCGGGGTTGGGCCCAGGACCGGCGTTGGGGTCAGGGCTGTGGGACAGGGGGGAGGAGAAGCGGTGGTGGGGAAGGGCCGGGGGTACCGGGGCAGGTCCCGGTCCTGGTGCCGGTGCCGGTACCGGCGGGGCCCATTCCAACGCTCGGCCCCACGCAGCGTCCCGGGATGCGGCGCTGAGCCCCGCCATGGCTGCACATCTGCTGCGGCGCTGCCGCCGGCTGCTGCCGGGGCCCGGCCTGAGCACCGGCCGAGCTCAGGGGTCCGTCCCGAGCACCGGCCCGGTGGAGCAGCCCATCCCGAGCACCGGCCCGGTGGAGCAGCCCGGCCTGAGCACCGGCCGGGCCGCGGGGCCCGAGCTGAGCGCTGCGGGGCCGCGGGCACGGGCCGAGCAGGAGGACTCGGAGCAGCAGCGGCTGCGGGAGCGCATCCGTGCCGCCGGCAGCCCGCAGGAGCTGCTGCAGCTGGGCCAGGGCGCCGCCCTCAGCAGCAACCTGGCAGCGCTGGCCATCGGGCGCCTGGCACGTGTCACCCGCCTGCAGCGCCTGGACTGCGCCGGCCTGCACGGGGACCCCCGATTCCAGCAGCTGCTGCAGGCACTGGATGTGCAGGTGGGGTGGGGTGGGGTGGGACAGGGGTGGGATGGGGTGGGAATGGGATGGGGATGGGGACAGGGGTGGGACGGGGATGGGACAGGGATGGGGATGGGGGGGGACAGGGATGGGATGGAGTGGGACAGGGATGGGGATAGAATGGGACAAGAATAGGACAGGGGAGGGACAGGGATGGGAACAGGGGAGGACAGAGATGAGACAGGGATGAGACAGGGGTGGGATGGGGTGGGAATGGGATGGGGATGGGAACAGGGATGGGACAGGGATGGGACAGGGATGGGAACAGGGATGGGACAGGGATGGGACAGGGATGGGAACAGGGATGGGACAGGGATGGGGATGGGGATGGGACAGGGATGGGATGGGGCTGGGACAGGGCTGGGACAGGGATGGGACAGGGATGGGACAGGGGTGGGACAAGGATGGGGATGGGGTGGGACAGGGGTGGGGACAGGGATGGGACAGGGATGGGGATGGGGGTGGGATGGGGGGGACAGGGATGGGGACAGAGATGGGACAGGGATGGGACAGGGATGGGGATGGGGGTAGGACAGGGATGGGGATGGGACAGGGCTGGGAATGGGGATGGGACAGGGATGGGGATGGGACAGGGCAGGGACAGGGATGGAACAGGAATGAGGATGGGGGTGGGACAGGGATGGGGACAGGAATGGGACAGGGATGGGACAAAGATGGGACAGGGATGGGGACGGGGCTGGGACAGGGATGGGGACGGGGCTGGGACAGGGATGGGAATGGGATGGGACAGGGCTGGGACAGCGATGGGACAGCGATGGGGATGGGATGGGAATGGGATGGGACAGGGCTGGGAGTGCTGGGACAGAGATGGGGGACTGTGGGGACACAGCTGGGAGTGCTGGGGACAGGGATGGGAGTGCTGGGACAAGGCTGGGGGACTGTGGGGACAGGGCTGGGATAGGGATGGGACAGGTATGGGAACAGGGATGGGGCTGGGAGTGCTGGGACAGAGATGGGAGTGCTGGGACACGCCTGGGGGACTGTGGGGACAGGGCTGGGAGTGCTGGGGACAGGTCTGCAGTGGCTGCTGGGGACACACTGGACACAGCTGGCCCTGCTCCTGGGACAGGGCTGCAGTGCTGCTCCGCTCTGCTCTGTACCTGAGCGCTCAGGGCACACCGGTGGCACGGGCTGGCAGTGCCCAGGTCCCTCCAGCGGGTTCAGGGTGCACGGGCAGGTGGCACAGGTGCCCCACATCCTCACGGGCTGCCCCCGTGCCACATCTGCCACACACATGTCCCTGTGGTAGATGGCTCGGGTGTGGAACAGGGCTGGTGTCCCTGTGTCACACCTGTCCCTGTGTCACACCTGTCCCCCTGTCCTTGTCCCATGCAGATCTCTCGGGTGTGGAACAGGGCTGGTGACCCATGTCACACCTGTCCCCGTGTCCCTGTCCCCGCAGATCTCGCAGGTGTGGAACAGGGCTGGTGTCCCTGTGTCACACCTGTCCTCGTGTCACACCTGTCCCTGTGTCACACCTGTCCCTGTGTCACACCTGTCCCCCTGTCCTTGTCCCCCACAGATCTCAGGGGTGTGGAACAGGGCCTGTATCTCCGTGTCACACCTGTCCCCATGTCCTTGTCCCATGCAGATCTCTCGGGTGTGGAACAGGGCCTGGTGTCCCTGTGTCACACCTGTCCCCGTGTCACACCTGTCCCTGTCCCCGTGTCCCTGTCCCCACAGATCTCTCAGGTGTGGAACAGGGCCTGTATCCCCATGTCACACCTGTCCCCGTGTCACACCTGTCCCCGTGTCTCTGTCCCTGTCCCCGCAGATCTCTCGGGTGTGGAACAGGGCCTGTACCCCCGTGTCACACCTGTCCCCATGTCACACCTGTCCCCGTGTCCCCGCAGCTGTGGAACGCGCCGCTGCTGCAGCTCCTGCGCAGCCTGCCGGCGCTGGGGCTGGTGTCCCCATGTCACACCTGTGTCCCCGTGTCCCCGCAGCTGTCGCAGGTGTGGAACGCGCCGCTGCTGCAGCTCCTGCGCAGCCTGCCGGCGCTGGGGCTGGCGCGGGGCGGGCGGCCGCTGCGCTCGGTGGAGCAGGAGGTGCTGTGGCGGCTGCGGCGCCTGCCCCTGCGGCAGCTGGTGCAGCTGGCAGAGCAGCTGGCGCCGCAGGGCCCCGACAGCGCGCTGCTGCCCGAGGTGCTGCGCAAGCTGGAGCTGCGCTGGACCGAGCTGGACGCGCCCCGCGCCGTGGTGACGCTCATGGCCAGGGTGGGACACCTGTCCCCCGCCCTGATGGAGCGCCTGGAGGACAAGGTGGGACCCGCCACCTGCGCATGGGGGTGGCACATTGGGGGCAGCGGTCCCTCCTGGGGTCACCCGCACCACCTGTGACCTGTGTCCCCTGTCCCCGTGTCCCCTGTGCTGTCCCTGACAGCCACTGGGGCTGGCCAAGAAGTTTGATCCCTGTCCTGCTCTCCCCTGTTGCTGTGTCCCTGTGCTCTGTCTCCCCTGTGTCCCTGTACCTGTGCCAGGCCCTGCAGCTGGACAAGCAGTTCTGTCCCTGCCTCACCTGTCCCTGTACCTGTGCCAGGCCCTGTAGCTGGCAGAGCAGTTGTGTCCCTGCCTCACCTGTCCCTGTACCTGTGCCAGGCTCTGGAGATGGCCAAGCAGTTGTGTCCCTTCTCTGTGTCTCTGTCCATGTCTCCCCTGTGTCCCTGTCCCCTGTGTCCCTGTCCCTGTGTCCCTGTCTCACCTGTGCCAGCCCCTGGAGCCAGCAGAGCAGTTCTGTCCCTGTTCCTGTGTCCCTGTCTCACCTGTCCCCTCTCACCTGTCTATTCCAGGCTCTGGAGCTGGCGGAGCAGTTCTGTCCCTGTCCCTGTCTCACCTGTCCCTGTCTCACCTGTCCCCTCTCACCTGTCTGTCCCAGGCTCTGGAGCTGGCGGAGCAGTTCTGTCCCTGTGTCCCTGTTTCCATGTCTCACCTGTCCCTGTCCCTGTGTCCCTGTCTCACCTGTCCCATCTCACCTGTCCCCTCTCACCTGTCTGTCCCAGGCTCTGGAGCTGGCAGAGCAGTTCTGTCCCTGTGTCCCTGTTTCCATGTCTCACCTGTCCCTGTCCCTGTGTCCCTGTCTCACCTGTCCCCTCTCACCTGTCTGTTCCAGGCCCTGGAGCTGGCAGAGCAGTTCTGTCCCTGTTTCCACGTCCCTGTGTCCCTGTCTCACCTGTCCCTGTCTCACCTGTCCCTGTCTCACCTGTCCCCTCTCACCTGTCTGTTCCAGGCTCTGGAGCTTGCAGAGCAGTTCTGTCCCTGTCTCACCTGTCCCATCTCACCTGTCCCTGTCTGTGCCAGGCGCTGGAACTGGCAGAGCAGTTCTGTCCCTGTCCCTGTGTCCCTGTCTCACCTGTCCCCTCTCACCTGCCCGTTCCAGGCGCTGGAGCTGGCGGAGCAGTTCTATCCCTGTTTCCATGTCCCTGTGTCCCTGTCTCACCTGTCCCTGTCCGTTCCAGGCGCTGGAGCTGGCGGAGCAGTTTGACCCCGACGAGCTGCGCCGCGTGGCGCTGGCGCTGGCGCTGCAGCAGCGCCGCTGCGTGCCGCTGCTGCGGGCCCTGTCCTACCACCTGCTGCAGAAACCCGCCGAGCTGCCCCTGCCCGTGCTCACCGACCTGCTCTTCGCCTTCAGTGAGTGTCCTGCAGGGCTGGGGACAAACTGCTTCCCTGTCACTGTGCTGGGCTGGCAGTGGGTGTGGGGCCAGGTCAGCTTTGGGCTCCCAGCCGTTCCCTCCCGGCTGTTCCCCAGGGGTTGTCCCAGCCCTGGGTGGGAGCAGGGGGCACTGCAGGTCAGCTCCGTGCTCCAGGTGTGGAACAGGGACAGCCAGGAGTCCATTCTAGGTGTCCCAAATCCCTGGGAGCTCCCATGGGTGTCCCCAGTCCCTCCCCAGCTCACCTGCAGCCCCTTCAGGCGCTGGGAGCGCTCCGAGGTGTCCCTGGAGCCTCTCCTCTCCAGGTGACCGTCCCCAGCTGTCACCCGTGGTGCGGGGGGCACAGGACAGAGGTGTGGGAGCCCCCTGTGCTGAGCTGTCCCCCCTTGGCGCAGGTAAGCTGAGCTTCCAGCAGCCGCAGGTGCTGCACCGCCTGTCCCTGGAGCTGCAGCCTCACCTGGGCAGCCTGAGCCCGGCCCAGGTGCTGCGCTGTGCCCGCTCCTTCGCCAGCCTGCGCTGGCTCAGCCGGCCCCTGGCCGAGGCCATCGCTCAGGTGAGGCCTGGGGACACGGGGGAGGCAGGGGACACTCACCTGTGCGGGGTTTGTCACCTTTCCCAGCAGGAACCGGGCAGAGCAGGTGCTGTTGTCACCTGGGAGCAGGTGGCACTGAGGGCCCTCCCTGTCCCCATTCCCAGTGGGAATCGGGGATCATTTCCTGCTGCATTTGGCTCCATCCAGACCCTCCAGCTGTGGCTGCTGGTGCTGGTTCTGGCCCAGTTCTGGCCCAGTTCTGTCCCAGTTCTGTCCCAGTCCCCCTCTCTGCCCGTCTCCATCCAGCCTGAGACATTCCAGGCCTGCCCTTGTAGCTGAGAAGATCCCAGGAATCCCTCACCCTGGTGTCCCACCCAGCACGGTTCCTGCTGATGTTTCCAACCTTTTCCTTTCTGCTTTTCTCCCTTCTGTCCCAGTTCCTTGCAGGTTCATCCCCCTGATGAACCCACCCACGCTGGGGTGTTCAGAGCTTGTCCTCGTACCTGGAGGGAGCCCCAGATCCCCCACTCTGTATCCCCACCTGGGAAGTGTCTGTGCTGACCTGTCCCTGTTTGGCCAGCCCCACATTCCCGTTTTCCCCACAGTACTGCCTGGACAACACGCAGAACCTGTCCCTCCCCCAGCTCTGTGGGGTCCTCGTGTCCTTCGCCCGCCTCAACTTCCAGCCCGGCTGCAGCGAGGAGTTCTTCTCCATGGTGACGTCCCTGCACCCCGGAATTCCCGTGGCTGGGTGGGGAGGGACCCCAGAGACCCCCACAGCTGGATTCCTTCACCCCAGAGACCCCCACAGCTGGATTCCTTCACCCCAGAGACCCCCACAGCTGGATTCCTTCACCCCAGAGACCCCCACAGCTGGATTCCTTCCCCACAGCCTCCCAAAGTCCCCGTTGTCCCCTGTCCTGGCACTCCAGCTGTCCCAAATCCCTCCCAGCTCCCCTGTTCAAGCCCTGCAGGTGACCCCAGAGCTGTCACTGTCCCCCTGGCACATTCCCCTGGGGCAGGAGCAGTGGGGTGGCCCCGGGATCACCTGGGAGGGGCCCCGCAGCCCCACAGAGGGACAGGGGCACACCTGGGTGGCCGTGCCGTGCCGTGCCGTGCCGTGCCGTGCCGTGCCAGCCCCGCCTGTGCCCGCACAGATCCAGGAGCGGCTGCAGGGGCAGGAGCAGCAGCTGGACGTGCACCTGCTGACGGACGTGGTGTGGTCCCTGTGCGTCCTGCAGCGTTCCCGGGTGTCCCACCTGTGCCAGCTGCTGTCCCCCGAGTTCCAGGAGCGCCTGCGAGGTGAGCCCGGCGGGCACTGCCCCACGGGGGCCGCAGCCCAGTCAAATTCGGTCCCCGTGCCCCCACGGCGGGGACCGGCCACCGGCTGCCACAGTGACCTCCGTGGGCACGAGCCCCGGGTCCCCTCCCGTGGGGCCGGGGGGCAAATCCCACTGGAGACACGGGATCTGGGAATGCCTGGGGCTGGGGGGGCTGGGGTTCACCTGGGGGTGCAAAGTGTGTCCCATGGGTGCTGCACCCAGCGGGGCTGCACGGCCCTTTCTGTGGGGATATTCCCCAAATCCCACCCACCCCTGGCACCTCCTGGGGCCGTTCCCCTGGCCCTTGGTGCCATCAGAGCCCAGCCCCAGCCAGCTCATCCCCTGGGGACATGGCCCCTGTGCCATGTGCCACTTCCAGCCTGGGGCTGAATGGCCCTTTCCATGGGGGATAGTCCCCAAATCCCACCTGAGCAGCCCCTGGGGACACGGCCCCTGTGCCACATCCAGCCTGGGGCTGCACAGCCCTTTCCGTGGGGAACATTCCCCAAATCCCACCTGAGCAGCCCCTAGGGACACAGTCCCTGTGCCACATCTCACCTGGGGCTGCACAGCCCTTTCCATGGGGGAATATTCCCCAAATCCCACCTGAGCAGCCCCTGGGGACACATCCAGCCTGGGGCTGCTCAGCCCATTCCATGGGGAACATTCCCCAAATCCCACCCACCCCTGGCACCTCCTGGGGCCGTTCCTGTGTCCCTGGTGCCATCAGAGCCCAGCCCCAGCCAGCTCAGCCCCTGGGGACACATCCAGCACAGCCCTTTCCGTGGGGGATATTCCCCAAATCCCACCTGAGCAGCCCCTGGCACCTCCTGGGGCCGTTCCTGTGCCCCTGGTGCCACCCTGGTGCCACCCAAGCACATCCCCCCTGTCCTGCAGGTGACAGCTCCCCGCGGGCGCAGAGCTCGTGGCTGAAGCTGCTGCACATCAACGCCACGGCCAGGCTGGAGGTGCCGGGCTACGAGGGGCCCTTCCTGCCCCCCGAGGCGCTGGGGGGGCACGGCCACAGCGACAGGGACAGGGACAGGGACAGGGACAAGGCCACCCCCCTGCAGCGGGGGCTGCGGGAGGCGCTGCCGGGGGCACTGGGGGGCCCCGACCTCGTCCGCTACAACGTGAGCACGGTGTACGGCTGGGACATCGGTGAGTGCCACCTGCTGCCACCCCCGGGCCTGGCACCCACCTGGGGACCTTCCAATGTCACCTCTGGGCCTGCCACCCACTCTGGGCACCTTCCAGTGTCACCCCCGGGCCTGGCACCCACCTGGGGACCTTACAGTGCCACCCCGGGCACCTTCCTGTGTCACCCTGGGCATGCCACCCACCCTGGGCACCTTCCAGTGTCACCCTGGGCCTGCCACCCGCCTGGGCACCTTCCAGTGACACCTCTGGGCCTGTAATCCATTCTGGGCACCTTCCAGTGCCACCCTGGGCATGCCACCCACCCTGGGCACCTTCCAGTGTCACCCCGGGCCTGCCACCCACCCTGGGCACCTTCCTGTGCCACCCCTGGGCCTGCCACCCACCCTGGGCACCTTCCAGTGCCACCCTGGGCCTGCCACCCACCCTGGGCACCTTCCAGTGTCACCCCCCGGGCCTGCCACCCACTCTGGGCACCTTCTAGTGCCACCTCCCAGCCCTGCCACCCACCCTGGGCACCTTCCAGTGTCACCCCCGGGCTTGTCATCCATTCTGGGCACCTTCCAGTGCCACCCCCAGGCCTGCCACCCACCTGGGCAACTTACAGTGACACCCTGGGCAGCTTCCAGTGTCACCCTGGGCGTGCCACCCACCCTGGGCACCTTCCAGTGCCACCCCCAGGCCTGCCACCCACCCTGGGCACCTTCCAGTGTCACTCCCAGGCCTGCCATCCACTCTGGGCACCTTCCAGTGCCACCTCCCAGCCCTGCCACCCGCCTGGGCACCTTCCTGTGCCACCCCTGGGCCTGTCACCCACCCCAGGCACCTTCCAGTGCCACCCCTGGGCCTGCCACCCACTCTGGGCACCTTCCAGTGCCACCCCCAGCCCTGCCACCCACCCAGGGCACCCCTGGCCTGGCACCCCCACCCCTGCTGTCTTCCCCTGTGACCCCCAGTCCCCCCAGCCCTGTCACCCCGTTACCTTCTTGTGCCACCTCGCAGCCCCTGTCACCTTTCCCTGTCACCCTCAGCCCTCCTGGCCCTGCCACCCTCCTGCCACCCTCTTGCAGCCCAGTCAAATTCGGTCCCTGTCCCCCAGTGTCGGGGACCGGCCACCGGCTGCCACAGCAAGTTCCGTGTCCCCCGTGTCCCTGTCCCTGCCGTGGGGCCGGGCAGTGGGTCCCCACGGACACGGGTGGGGTCAGGGAGCCCCTGGGTGCTCCTGTCCCCTCGGGCTGGGGTCACAGAGCCCCTGGGTGCTCCTGTCCCCTCGGGCTGGGCTCAGAGCGCCCCTGGGTGCTCCGGGGTGCCCCTGTCCTGTTGGGAAGGATGCAGCAGCCCTCCCCACACTGTCCCCGTGTCCCTGCAGATGCCGAGGCGGTGCTGGACAGCGACAACAAACCTCTGCCCGTGAGGGACTTCGCTGCCCCCCACTTGTCCCACTCCGAGGGGACAAAGGCGCTGCCACCCGGGGCCAGGAGGTGGGAGGGGACAGCGGGGGACAGGGGACAGAGGGGAGGAAGAGGAGGGAGCAGGGAGGGGATGGGGAGGGGGAATAGGAAGGGTCGGTGGGGGAAAAGGGGACATGGGGACGGGCTCGGGGTGGCCGCGCTCAGTCCCTGTCCCCTCCCTGTCCCCTCCCTGTCCCCTCCCTGTCCCCAGGGTGGCCGTGCTGCGCTGGGAGCTGCCGCACTTCAGCTCTCCGGGCCGGGAGCTGCTGGGCCGGGGCTCCCTGGCCCGAAGGCACCTGCGAGCCGCCGGCTTCCTGCTGGCCGAGGTGAGCCCCGGGCACCGGGCACCGCCCCGGGCACCTCCCGTGGCACCGGAACCCTTCCCGGGATAAACGTCCCCAAAAACATCCCCCAAACGCCACCTGAGCCTCCCCCGGGACTCGGGTGTGGCCTCAGCTGTGCCCACCTCGGGACAGTCCCGGTGCCAGTGTCCCCCTGGCACACCTGGGCACACCTGGCTCCGCCGGGATGGGGACACCGACCCCAGCCTGAGCGGGGATGAGCCACCGTGATCCCCCCGGGCCACCTGCCAGCAGCTGGGGGGGACAGGGGTGACAGGGAGGTGACACAGCTGATCCTGTGGGGTCATCCAGGATTAACCCCTGCGGGTAATTATAGCTCGGGGGGAGTGGGACAGCCACGTGTCACCCCCAGGGTCACTGTCAGCGCTGCCCTGGCAGTGGCACTGCCACACCGGGGTGGGTGGTGGCACCCCAGGGTGGTGCTGGAGCCTCCTGGGGGTGCCACTGGAGGGGACACAGCTGTCACCCCCCTGTCCCCTGCAGGTGCCCCACCACGAGTTCCTGGAGCTGAAGCTGGAGCGGCAGCGCGTGGCCTACCTCAGGGACAAGGTGGCCAAGGTCCTGGCCAGTGACACCGCCGGGGACACGGCCACCGACACGGCCACCTAAGCACCCATGTGGCCTCGTCCCTGTCCCAGGGCCAGCAGGTCACCGCGCAGAGGTGGCACAGCGGCTGAGCCCAGGTGGCCACGTCACTGTGTCACCGTGCCCGGGTGGGCACGTCCCCACAGCGCGGTCCCCGTGTCCCCACGTGGCTCCAGCGCTGCTGCCCGTGTCACCAACGGCCCAAATAAAACCTGAACTGTACAGGGACGGTGGCTGGGCATGGGTGGCATTGGGGACAGGTGGCATTGGGGACATGACATCAGGGATGGGTGGCATTGGGGACTTTGGGGACACTGGGGATGTGACAATGGGGATGGGTGACAATGGGGACAGGTGGCATTGGGGACATGCCATCGGGGATGGGTGTCATAGGGGACGGGGACAGTGGGGATGGGTGACACTGGGTTGGGTGACAATAGGGATGGGTGGCATTTGGGACTTTGGGGACAGTGGGGATGGGTGGCATTGGAGACACATGACATTGGGGACAGTTGCCATCAGTGCCAGGTGGCACTGGGACCAGGTGACATCCAGGCCCAGTTGGCATCATGGCCAGGTGACACTGGGGCTGGGTGGCACTGGGACAGGTGACGTGGGAGCCAAGTGACATCTGTGGCAGTTGGCATTGGGGTGGGTGACATTGGGGTGGGTGACATCGAGGCTGGGTGACCTTGGGGGTGGGTGACATCAGGGGTGGGTGGCACTGGGTGGCTGCCAGTGGGGTCAGTGCCACCAGCGTTGGTGGCACGTGGCTGTGCCCGTGTCCCCCAGCCCCGTGCCCGCCAGTCTGAGCCGGGATTGGCATCGGGAGCCACCGGCCTTGATTCCCGATTATCCCGGGATTGTCCCCGGGGGGCGGGGACAGCAGTGACCCACAGGCCACGAGTCCTGCACGGGGCGGGGGGACAAAGGGGGCTGGGGACAGGCCTGGGGGTGACAAAGGTGGCTCGGGACCAGCCTGGGGGACACAAAGGTGGCTCAGGACCAGCCTGGGGTGACAAAGGTGGCTCAGGACAAGCTGGGGGGGTGACAAAGGTGGCTCGGGACCAGCCCGGGGGTGACACACCGGGGCCGGGAAGGGCTCTGGCGACACATCAGTGACCCCCCCGCCCCGGGACCCCTCCGGCCGCCGGGGGGGACACACGGGGACAGGGGGACACGGCGGGCGGGAGCTGCTGAGTCACCGGCGGGGCCGTGCCTGGCACCGGCAGGCGGGCACGGGGGACAATGCCCGTCCTCATCGCGGTGCTGCGGGACCCGCGGGGGGGACACGCGGGTCCCTCCCCCCGGTGTCACCGCGCGGACGCTCCGGGGGGATCCCCAGGACACCGCGGGTGCTGATCCCCCTTTTTTTGGGGACAAAGTGGGGGAAACTGAGGCCGGCCCCGCCCTCCCCCCCCCCCCGGGGGTGATGCAAGCGCTGGGTGGGCCCGGAGCCCCCTCCCCTCCCCTCCCCTCCCCCGACACAAACGCACTATCGCGACAGAGCGGGGCCGGGCGGGCCGCGCTCCGCTGACATCAGCCGGGCCGGTCCCGGCCCCGTCCCCGCCCCGGCCCCGCCGATGCTCCCGCGCCGCCGCCGCCGCCGCAGCCGCGTCCGCCCCGCCGAGCCCAGCGGGGGGAGCGGGGCCGGGGCGGGCCGAGCCCCGAGAAGCCCCAAAAACCGCCCGCGGCGGCGGCTCCGAGCCGCGGAACGGGATGCCGGAGGGAGCGGAGGCAGGTGAGGCCGGGCGGCGGGAGGAGGAGGAGGGACAGGGAGGATGAGGAGGCAGCGGGAGGATGAGGAGGGAGCGGGAGGATGAGGAAGGAGCGGGAGGATGAGGAAGGAGCGGGAGGATGAGGAAGGAGCGGGAGGATGAGGAAGGAGCGGGAGGATGAGGAAGGAGCGGGAGGATGAGGAGGGAGAGGGAGGATGAGGAGGATGAGGAGGGAGCGGGAGGATGAGGAGGCAGCGGGAGGATGAGGAAGGAGCGGGAGGATGAGGAAGGAGCGGGAGGATGAGGAGGCAGCGGGAGGATGAGGAGGCAGAGGGAAGAATGGAAGCGCGGGGAGGAGGACGCGGGATGAAGGCCGAGAATGGGATGAGGATGGAGCGGGGGGATGAAGGACGGAGCCGGAAGGATGAAGGACGGAGCGGAAAGGACGGAGCAGGAGGATGAGGATGGAGCAGGAGGATGGAGCGGTGGGATGAAGGACAGAGCAGGGAGGAGGGAGCCGGAGCCGTCAGGATGGAGATGAAAGGCGGAGCGGGAGCCATGGAGGGCCGGAGGATGAGGATGGGGCTGGGGGATGAAGGACGGAGCAGGGAGGGCTGCAGGACGGGAGGATGAGGATGGAGCTGGGGGATGAAGGACGGGAGGATGAGGATGGAGCTGGGGGATGAAGGACGGGAGGATGAGGATGGAGCAGGGGGAAGGTGGATCCAGGTGGGGGATGAAGGACAGAGGGGCAATGATGGAGCCGGAGGATGAGGATGAGGATGGAGCGATGGACGCAGAGCAGGAGGGATGAGGATGAGGATGAGGATGAGGATGAGGATGAGGATGAGGATGAGGATGAGGATGAGGATGGAGCTGGGGGATGAAGGAGCCGGAGGATGAGGATGGAGCGGGAGGAGCCGCCGCCCGCGCTCCGGGCCCGGCACAACCGGGGGGCTCCGGCCCGACCCCCGGCGGGGCTCGGGGCACTTGGGGGACCCCTCGGGGGTCACCGCCCCCCCCCGGGAACCCATCGGGGCGTGCCCCCCGTGCCGGAGGGAAACTGAGGCACGGCCAAGGTCACCCCACAGCGCTGTCCCCGGGGCCACTCTGACGTGTCGTGGGGACGGGGACAGGGACACAGCCCGGAGCCACCCTCCCCTGTGCCGCGGTGCCCCCCGAGCTGAGGTTGGGGGTCCCCAAGGTCAGGGTGTGCCCTCCGGGGTGTCCAGAGGGGACCCCAAAACAGCCCCCGGGTTGTGGGGCAGGGACGCGCTGGATTATCGGGGTCCCGCCACCCCCTTATGGGGCAGAGTCACCCCAAAACGGCCCCGGGGGGTCAGTGGGACACGACCCCCCCCCACACCCACAATGAGCCTTTCGGGGGTCCCCAGCACGTGGCGGGGGGGTTGTGCTGGACTGAACCATCTCAGACTGGGGGGGGTGGGGCCCCGCCCCCTCCCGGCTCCCCCCGCGCCGCCCCGCCCCCAACCCCGTTATAACGGCGGGGGGGGGGCGGGCCCGGGGTGCAGGAGGGGCCGGGGGCACCCGCGGGACCCGCCGCGCCCGCCCATGGAGCCGTGCCCAGGTGAGGGGGGGTCCCGGGGGGGTCCCGGGGGTGTTTGGGGGAGCGGTGGGCACGGCGGGGCTGCGGACCCCCCCCAAAATGAGCGCACGGGGTGGGGAGGAGGCGGGGGGGGGGGCGCGGGGTTGGGGTCCCGCCCTGCTGCAACCGCGTGCGCCCCCCACCCACCACACCCAGAGAGGGGTTTGGGGATGGGGCGCTGCTGCTGTCCCCCCCCCGTGCCCCAAAAACCTCCAGGGACCCCCCCACAGCTGCTCTGGGTGGGGTCACCCTGTTCTCCCCCCTCCCCACGGTGACCCCACGGGGGGGGCGGTGGCACTCAGGGGTGACCCCGGGGTGGGGCTGCGGCACTCAGGGGTGTCCCCCCTCCCCACGGTGACCCCGGGGGTGGGGCGGTGGCACTCAGGGGTGTCACTCCGTGGGGCGGTGGCACTCAGGGGTGTCCCCCCTCCCCACGGTGACCCTGGGATGGGGCGGTGGCACTCAGGGGTGTCCCCCCCGTGGGGTACTGGGGCACTCAGGGGTGACCCCGGGGTGGGGCGGTGGCACTCAGGGGTGTCCCCTCTCCCCACGCTGACCCCATGGGGGGGGCGGTGGCACTCAGGGGTGACCCCGGGGTGGGGCGGTGGCACTCAGGGGTGTCCCCCCATGGGGGGGCGGTGGCACTCAGGGGTGTCCCCCCTCCCCACGGTGACCCCATGGAGGGGCGGTGGCACTCAGGGGTGACCCCGGGGTGGGGGCGGTGGCACTCAGGGGTGTCCCCCCGTGGGGTGCTGCGGCACTCAGGGCTGTCCCCCCTCCCCACGGTGACCCCGGGGTGGGGCGGTGGCACTCAGGGGTGTCCCCCCGTGGGGTGCTGCGGCACTCAGGGCTGTCCCCTCTCTCCGCAGCCCCCCCGCCGATGCCCGGGACCCCCCCGCCGATGCCGGCCAAGGACGAGGCGCGCCCCCCGCCCGAGGGGGCGAGCTGTGAGCCCGGCCCCGCCGCCGCCGCGCCCCCCGGTTCCCCGTGCCGGCCGCCGCGGGGCGCGGAGCCGCTGCACACCCGCATCGTGATGGGGGAGGAGACGCGCAGCCCCCCGCCCGAGCCCCGGGGGGCGCCCCCCGTGCCTTGTCCCTTCCCCGCGCCCCCCAAAGAGCCGCCCCCGGGCCGCCCCCCGCCGCTGGACCCCGAACTATTCTTCACCGCCCCCTCCACGCCGGTGCGGGCGGGGGGGGCGCGGCCGCCGCCCCCCGAGGAGCCGCCCACGGACGGGGACAGCGAGGGGCTCTGCTCGCCCCCCACGTCCCCCTCGGGCTCCTACAGGACGGCCGAGGGCGGCAGTTGGGGCTCCTCGGGCACCGCCAGCACCTCCCCGTCCTGCTCCCCCAACCTGGGGGAGGGCGAGGCCGAAGGCCTGGGGGGGGCCGAGGGGCTGGGGGGGGCCCTGCTGCTGCCCCCCGGCCTGGGGGACCCCCCGGCCTTCCCCCCGCTGTCCCCCGAGGAGGAGGATGAGGATGATGATGATGAGGACGGTCCCTTCGCCCCGCCGGGCTGCGCGGATGATGAGGAGGAGGAGGATGAGGATGGGCAGACCCCGGAGGAGGATGAGGATGATGAGGATGAGGAGGAAGGCTCGGGGCTGATCCCGGCGGCGCTGCTCCCGTTCCGCGGCAGTCTCCTCTTCCAGGCCGAGGCCGTGGAGATCTCACCGCGGGTCCCCACTGAGGAGGAGGAGGAGGATGAAGATGAAGGCAGCACCTCGGCGTCCTTCCTGCGCTCGCTGTCCGAGAGCTCCATCCCCGAGGGGGGGGACGAGACCTTCGCCTTCCGCGACGACACCGACGCCTCCTCGGACTCGGCCGCCTACGACGGGGACGAGGACGAGCGGCTCTACGGCCGCGAGCGACACGCGGGGACCCCACCCGGGACCCCCCCGGCCTCCCCCGGGCCCGCCGGGGTCGAGCTCCACCTCCGTGCCGGGTCCCCGGGCCACCCCGAGCCGGCTCCGGGACCCGTGGGGACACCCCCGGCACTGGACGGGACCGCCGCTGTCACCGTCACCAGGACCGCCGCTGTCACCGGGGCCGGGGCGCGACCCCCGCCCGAGCCCCCCGAGGAGGTGGCGGGACGGGGAAGGTGCCCGGAGCTGGCAGGGACCCACCCTGTCCCCCCGTCCCCCGTGCTCTGTGCCCGGGAGCCCCAGGATGGCCCCGGGGGTGACAATGATGGTGACAGTGATGGTGACAATGACCTTGAGCTCAGCGCTGGGACAGCGGGCAGCGCTGACAGCCACAGCCAGATGGACTCTGCAGCCACCGGCCTGGGGACACTGGTGACACCGACCCCCCTGGATGAGATGGACACGGTGACCACTGCCCTGGTGACACCAGTGACACCCAGCCTGATGGACACGGTGACCACTGCCCTGGTGACACCAGTGACACCCAGCCTGATGGACACGGTGACCACTGCCCTGGTGACACCGGTGGCACCGACCCCCCTGGATGAGATGGACGCTGCGGCCACCAGCCCGGTGACACCCAGCCCGCCTGACGAGCCGGACACTGCGGCCACTGACACGGTGACACCAGGGACACCAACCCCGCTGGATGCTGCAGCCCCTGATGTCGTGGAGTTGGTGACAGCGAGCCCACCAGATGAGCCGGACACTGTGGCCATGGACCTGGTGACACCGAGCCCACCACATGAGCTGGACACCATGGTCACAAATCTGGTGACACCAGTGACACCGAGCCCACCAGATGAGCCGGATGCCGTGGCCATGGACCTGGTGACACCAGTGACACCCAAGCCCCCAGATGAGCCGGACACCATGGCCATGGACCTGGTGACACCAGTGACACCGAGCCCACCAGATGAGCTGGACACCGTGGCCATGGACCTGGTGACACCGGTGACAGCGAGCCCCCCAGATGAGCCTGACACTGTGGCCACCAGCCTGGTGACACCGGTGACAGCGAGCCCACCACATGAGCTGAACACCGTGGCCACAGATCTGGTGACACCAACCCCCCTGGTGACACCGAGCCCCCCAGATGAACTGGACACTGTGGTCACCAGCCTGGTGACACCAATGACAAGAAGCCCACCACATGAGCTGGACAGTGTGGCCACAGATCTGGTGACACCAGTGACACTGAGCCCACCACATGAGCCGGACACTGTGGCCACCAGCCTGGTGACACCGACCCCACCACATGAGCTGGCTATCACGACCACCGAGCCGGTGACACCGGTGACACCGAGCCTGCTGGACAAGATGGAAGTTATGGACACTGTCCTGGTGACACCAGTGACATCCCCCCTGAAGGATGCTGCGGCCACCGACTTGGTGACATCAGTGCCACCTGCCCTGCTGGCCACTGAGGCCACCAGCCTGGTGCCACCAGTGCCACCTGCCCTGACGGCCACCACGGACGCTGCCCCGGTGACCCCGAGTGCGATGGACACCGCGGACACGGAACCGGTGACATCGGTGACCTCCGAGCATGTGACGGCCACCGTGACCCCCGGCCCGGTGGCCCCCAGCCCCCCGGCTGCTGTCCCTGCCCCGTGTCCCCCTGCCCGGGCCGGGGTGGCCCCGGCTGTCCCCCCGTGTCCCCTGGCAGGGGCGACGCTGTCGCAGCCCCCCGGGGATGTCCCCGAGGGGTCGGGGGACGCTGCCTCCGGTTTTGTCCCCGGTACCGGAGCGGCCCCGCCGAGCCCCGCCGGGCCCCGCGGGGACCCCGAGGAGGAGGAGGAGGAGGAGGAAGAAGAGGATGAAGATGCGCCCCCCGCGCCCCCCTCGCCGCGGTTCACGGCCTCGGAGCGGGAGGTGTTTGTGGGGACCCCCCCCGAACTGCTCCCACCACCCGGTGCCTTTTCGGGGCGCGGGGCCGGGCCGGGGGTCACCGCCCCGCTCCGGGGGTCCCCGGGGGTCCTGCCCGCCGCCCCCCGGCCGGGCCCCGAGCCCCCCGGCCCCGATGCCAAAGTCCCCCCGAGCCCCCCCGAGGCGCAGGAGGAAGAGGAGGCGGCGGGGGGGGTCGCTCCCAGCCCCCCGCCCGCTGTGGGGGCTCAGCCGGGGTCCCCCCGCCCTGCGCCCCCCAACCCTGCGCCCCCCAAACTCAGCCAAGTGCCTCCTCCTGCCCCGGCCCCCCCGGGGCTGCCCCTCTCCAGGACGCACCTCGAAGGTAAGAGCCCCCAAAAACCCCCCTTGGCTGTGGGGCTGGGCTGGGTGCTGCCCACGGGGGGATTTTGGGGGTCCCGGGTGGGTGCGGCCACACGGGGGTTTGGGGGCACCACCAGCTCAGCCCCGCCCTTGCCGTGGGGTGTCGGGGTCAGGGTGGGCGGTCAGGGGAGTGGGGGGGCGATGGGGGCGAGCAGGCGGGGCTGAGCCCCCAGAGGGGTTTTGGGGACCCCCCTCTCACCCCCCGTGCCCCCACAGCCCCCCAGCGCTCCCCGCAGAAGGAGCCGGAGCCCCGGGCCCGGGCGGGGGTCCCGGGGGCTGGGGGGGGCCGGGCGCCCCCCCGGGGGTCTCTGCAGTCCGAGTCGAGCTCGTCCAGCGAGGCCGAGACCCCCCAGCCCCCCCCGGCCCCCCAGCGCTGCCAGCCCAACCACCGAGGTGAGGGGGGGTCCCGTGGGGTACCCCCACCTTTGGGGGGTCCGGGGAGCCCCTCTCAGCCCCCCACTTTGCGCAGGGTCCGGGAACGAGTCCGAGAGCAACGACGAGTCCATCCCGGAGCTGGAGGAGCCCGAGGGCTCAGAGCTGCCCCCTGCCCAGCCCCAGGTGGGTTTTGGGGGGTCGGGGGGTGCTGGGGACCCCCGGGGCGTGGGGGTTCACTGACCCCCCCTCTCGCAGGTGCCCCTGGGCCAGGCGCTGGGCCCCGCCGAGGAACCGCTCAGCAAAGCCAAGCAGAGCCGCAGCGAGAAGAAGGCCCGCAAGGTTGGGGGGTCCCCGGGGTGCCCCTGGGGGTTGGGGTCCCATCGCGGGGTTGGGGGAGGGGGGGCAGTGCTGGGAATTTGGGGGGGTGAGGATGGGACTCGGGGGGTCCCCACCATGGGCTGGGGGGGCTCATCCCGGCCGTGCTGAGGGACGGTATCCCCCATCCCTGCTCCCCGTTCCCCCGGGGATTTGGGGTGCTGTGCCACCCCGGGGTGCTGTGCCGGGGGTCACTGTGTGCCCCCCCAGGCCATGTCCAAGCTGGGGCTGCGGCAGATCCACGGCGTCACCCGCATCACCATCCGCAAATCCAAGAACATCCTCTTCGTCATCTCCAAACCCGACGTCTTCAAGAGCCCCGCCTCGGACATCTACATCGTCTTTGGGGAGGCCAAGGTGGGCTCGGGGGGCTTTGGGGGCAGCCCCGGCTCGGGGGGCGGCGCGGTGACCCCGTGTGTCCCCCAGATCGAGGACCTGTCCCAGCAAGTGCACAAGGCGGCGGCTGAGAAGTTCAAGGTGCCCCTGGAGCACCCGGCGCTGGTGCCCGACGCTGCTCCTGCCCTGGCCATCAAGGAGGAGAGCGAGGAGGAGGAGGAGGTGGGTGCTGGGGGGGCAGAGCACCCCGGGGTGCCATGGGGGGGGCAGAGCACCCCGGGGTGCCATGGGGGGGGCAGAGCACCCCGGGGTGCCATGGGGGGGCAGAGCACCCCGGGGTGCCATGGGGGTCTGTGTCTGTGCCATGGGGGGTCTGGGTCTGTGTCATGGGGGGTCTGGGTCTGTGCCCCACGGGGGGGTCTGTGCCATGGTGGGGTCTCTGGGGCTGTGCCATGGTGGGGGTCTCTGGCACCCAGGGCTGGGTCTGTGCCATGGGGGTCTGTGCCATGGGGGGGGTCTGGGTCTGTGCCATGGGGGGTCTGTGCCATGGGGGGTCTGTGCCATGGGGGGGGGTCTGGGTCTGTGCCATGGGGGGTCTGTGCCATGGGGGGTCTGTGCCATGGGGGGGGGTCTGGGTCTGTGCCATGGGGGTCTGGGTCTGTGCCATGGGGGGGTCTCTGGCACTCGGGTCTGGGTCTGTGCCATGGTGGGGTCTGGGTCTGTGCCATGGGGGGTCTCTGGCATTCAGGTCGGGGTCTCTGGCATTAGGGGCTGGGTCTGTGCCATGGGTGGGGGGTCTCTGGTGTTCAGGGCTGGGTCTGTGCCATGGTGGGGGGCTCTGGGTCTGTGCCATGGGGGTCTGGGTCTGGGTCTGTGCCATGGGGGGTCTGTGCCATGGGAGGGGGTCTGGGTCTGTGCCATGGGGGGTCTGTGCCATGGGGGGTCTGTGCCATGGGAGGGGGTCTCTGGCATTAGGGGTTGGGTCTGTGCCATGGGGGGCTGGGTCTGGGTCTGTGCCATGGGAGGGGGTCTCTGGCATTAGGGGCTGGGTCTGTGCCCCATGGGGGGGTCTGGGTCTGTGCCATTGGGGGGTCTCTGGCACTCGGGTCTGGATCTGTGCCATGGGGGGTCTCTGGCACTCAAGGTGGGGTCTGTGCCATGGGGGGGGGTCTTTGGTGTTCAGGGCTGGGTCTGTGCCATGGGGTGTCTCTGGCATTAGGAACTGAGTCTGTGCCATGGGGGGGTCTGGGTCTGTGCCCCACGGGGGGGTCTCTGGCATTAGGGACTGTCTGTGCCATGGGGGGGTCTGGGTCTGTGCCATGGGGGGGCCAGAGCACCCCGGGGTGCCTTGGGGGTCTCTGGGGCTCAGGGTCTGTGCCATGGGGGGGGTCTGGGTCTGTGCCATGGTGGGGTCTCTGGTGCTCAGATCTGGGTCTGTGCCATGGGGGGTCTGTGCCATGGGGGGGTCTCTGGCACCCAGGGCTTGGTCTGTGCCATGGTGGGGGGGTCTGGATCTGTGCCATGGGGGGGTCTCTGGCATTAGGGTCTGTGTCTGTGTCATGGGGGTCTGTGTCTGTGCCATGGGGGTCTGGGTGTGTGCCATGGGGGGTCTCTGGTGTTCAGGGCTGGGTCTGTGCCATGGGGGGGTCTGTGTCTGTGCCACGGGGGTCTCACAGCGCCGTGCCCCCCCCCAGGTGGACGAGACGGGGCTGGAGGTGCGGGACATCGAGCTGGTGATGGCCCAGGCCAACGTGTCCCGGCCCAAGGCCGTGCGGGCCCTGCGGCACAACAACAACGACATCGTCAACGCCATCATGGTGAGTGGGGGGCTGGAGACCCCCTTTCCTGGGGAATTGGGGCTGTGACCCCCCTCCCCTTCTCCCAGGGGAATTGGGGCTGTGACCCCTCTCCCCTTTTCCCACTGGGAATTGGGGCTGTGACCCCTCTCCCCTTTCCCGGGGGAATTGGGGCTGTGACCCCCCCCTCCCCTCTTCCCAGTGGGAATTGGGGCTGTGACCCCTCTCCCCTTTTCCCACTGGGAATTGGGGCTGTGACCCCCCTTCCCTTTTCCCACTGGGAATTGGGGCTGTGACCCCCTTTTTTCCCACTGGGAATTGGGGCTGTGACCCCTCTCCTCACCTTTTCCCAGTGGGAATTGGGGCTGTGACCCCTCTCCCTTTTCCCAGGGGAATTGGGGCTGTGACCCCCCTTTTTCCCAGTGGGAATTGGGGCTGTGACCCCTCTCCCCTTTTCCCACTGGGAATTGGGGCTGTGACCCCTCTCCCTTTTCCCAGGGGAATTGGGGCTGTGACCCCCCATTTTCCCAGTGGGAATTGGGGCTGTGACCCCCCCATTTTCCCACTGGGAATTGGGGCTGTGACCCCCTTTTTTCCCACTGGGAATTGGGGCTGTGACCCCTCTCCTCCCCTTTCCCAGTGGGAATTGGGGCTGTGACCCCTCTCCCCTTTTCCCACTGGGAATTGGGGCTGTGACCCCCCTTTTCCCCTTGGGAATTGGGGCTGTGACCCCCCATTTTCCCAGTGGGAATTGGGGCTGTGACCCCCCTTTTTCCCCCTCAGAACTGGGGGTGACCCCCAATTCCCGCCTCTGCTCTCTCCCACAGGAACTGACCATGTAGCAGCCGGGGGTGTCCTGGCCCCCTGTATAGATGCACAGAGCCCCCCCAAATCCTCCCTGCTGCCCCCCACCCTCCTCCTGGCCCCTGGACTGCTCAATAAAGGCCTCCTGCACCCCTTGGATCGCACCGAGCCTCCCAGGCCTGATTTGGGGGGGTGGTGTCACCAGTGGGGGGACACCCCAGGGTGGGCAGTGTGAAGGGGGCAGAAGGGGTTACAGGCACTGGGGGGGATCTGGGGCCTCTGGAATGTGCCAGAACCCCAAAGTGCTGAGGCAGCACCTGGCTCCAGAGTGGGGCAGGAGCAGAGCCCTGGGGTGTGGCTGTGGGGTACTGGGGAACCCCCCCAGGGCAGATAAAGGGGGTTCTGGGGGTCCTGCCCAGCTCCTCTCCCCAGCAGGACCTGGGGAGGATGAGGAGGGGGGCAGTGACTGGGGAGAATCCCAGACTGGGGCAGCTGGAATGTTCAGGAATGTTCCAATACCACGGATGCAAGGGTGAAAAAATTCACATTGTGGTACAACTTCATTTTGGGGGGGGCAGGGGCAGTTCTGGGGGACCCGCTGTGCAAACTGTAAACTGTGGGGGAGCAGATCCCAGCACTCAGGACATCCCTCAGGAGCACGTCTGTCCTTCTGGGAGGAGATCTGCCCCCAAAATCCAAATGCAGGCCTGTCCCCCAAGCCCCAGCGGGAGCCCCTGGAGCTGCTCATGAGGCTGGGGCAGTGCAGACACCCTGCTGGAGCCCCCGGGTCCCACAGGAGGGGTCTGGGGTCCCTCCAGGGGCAGCTCCATGTCCCAGGGTCTCCATGGGAGCACAGGTTCATGTTCTTGGGCAGCTCCAGAGCTTCCCTGGGGCAGATCCACGTCCCCACAAGGACAGCTCCGTGTCCCAGGATCTCCATGGGGGCACAGGTTGGTGTTCTTGGGCAGCTCCAGAGCTCCCCTGGGGCAGTTCTGTGTCCCGGGGTCCCTCCAGGGCCAGCTGCATGTCCCAGGATCTCCATGGGAGCACAGGTTCATGTTCTTGGGCAGCTCCAGAGCTCCCCTGGGGCAGTTCCACATCCCCCCGAGGGCAGCTCCGTGTCCCGGGGTCCCTCCAGAGCTGCTCCCTCAGGACGAGTCCCGGTCCAGGCTGCAGCCCAGGGCCTCGATGTCGCTGCTGATGTGGGAGATCATCCTGTCCCACTCGTCCTCCTCGGAGGGCACGGACTGCTCGTCGGAGCTGCCGGCGGCGCCGGTGCCGTTGGAGGCGGAGGCGGCGCCCAGCGAGCGGCGGTAGCGGCCGAAGCTGTCGGTGATGATGCCGCGGCCGTCCTTCACCCCGATGGTCTCCAGGAAGTTCTCGAAGTGCTGGCTGTCCTTCTCGGGGATGAAGGGACGCAGGCCTACGGCGGGGACACGGTGAGTGCGGGGACCCGGGATTCCTCACCCCGGGGGATTCCTCACCCCGGGGGGATTCCTCACCCACCGGGGATTCCTCACCCCGGGGATTCCACAGGCTTAATTAATTATGGTTAATGGGGACTGGAGGGGACTGGTGGGGGCTGGAGGGGACTGGTGGATCCCTGACCCTGGATCCCAGAGAATCCCTGACCCTGGATCCCGGAGAATCCCTGACCCTGGATCCCAGAGCACCCCTGACCCTGGATCCCAGAGCACCCCTGACCCTGGATCCCAGAGAATCCCTGAGCCTGGATCCCAGAGAATCCCTGAGCCTGGATCCCAGAGAATCCCTGAGCCTGGATCCCAGAGAATCCCTGAGCCTGGATCCCAGAGAATCCCTGAGCCTGGATCCCAGAGAATCCCTGAGCCTGGATCCCAGAGAATCCCTGAGCCTGGATCCCAGAGAATCCCTGAGCCTGGATCCCAGAGAATCCCTGAGCCTGGATCCCAGAGAATCCCTGAGCCTGGATCCCAGAGAATCCCTGAGCCTGGATCCCAGAGAATCCCTGAGCCTGGATCCCAGAGAATCCCTGAGCCTGGATCCCAGAGAATCCCTGAGCCTGGATCCCAGAGAATCCCTGAGCCTGGATCCCAGAGAATCCCTGAGCCTGGATCCCAGAGAATCCCTGAGCCTGGATCCCAGAGAATCCCCGACCCTGGATCCCAGAGCACCCCTGGCCCTGGATCCCAGAGCACCCCTGAGCCTGGATCCCAGAGCACCCCTGAGCCTGGATCCCAGAGGATCCCCGACCCTGGATCCCAGAGGATCCCCGACCCTGGATCCCAGAGGATCCCCGACCCTGGATCCCAGAGGATCCCCGACCCTGGATCCCAGAGGATCCCCGACCCTGGATCCCAGAGGATCCCCGACCCTGGATCCCAGAGGATCCCTGACCCTGGATCCCAGAGAATCCCCGAGCCTGGATCCCAGAGAATCCTGATTATGGATCCCTCACCCGGCTCCTTCCCCCTGGTCCCTCCAGGGTCCCCCCGGTCACTCACACCCAGACCGTGGCCATGGCTCAGGGAACCAAAACCCGGCTCAAGGGGGATTTTCTGAGCTCCCAACCATCTAATTCCTCACCCGGCATCTCGCTGGGCTTTGCTGAGCTTATCCCAGTGATTTGTGCCATCAGGGCCATCTGTCCCGTCCCCCGGGTGTCCCCAGGGGTGAGGGGACTGCTCAGACACTGCTCCTGCTCTGGGGGCAGTGACTTGCTGACCCCTTTTCCCTGGATGTCAGAGGCCCCAGGTCAGACACTGTTCCTGTCCTGGGAGGATTTTGTGCTCCTGACCTCCTAGGATATCACAGGCCAGGTTGTTTAAATATCCCTGACCTGGAGATTTCCAGTTCTGAATTAAATCCCCTGGCTCTGGAGGGGGTTTCTAGGTGTGGGAGACAGTCTGAGGGCTGGAGGAGGTTCCCAGGTGCTGCACAGGCAGGTGGGAGCAGGGAACAGCTCCGAGGAGAGCCTGGAGCTGTGGTTTGAGCCGGGCTGGACGCACCAGCTGCCCTCAGGAATGGGGAAATCTCCACAGGAGATGGATTGGGGTGTTCCTCCTCTGGTGGTGGCACCCCAAGGCCTCCCTGTGCCCCCAGCCCCTCACCCCTGCTGGCAGGCCCAGCTCAGGCCCCAGAGCCATCCCACACTCACCCAGGAGCAGGAATTTCCTGCTGTCCCCGTAGAGCTGCTTGAGGTTGATGCAGAACTCGTGGATGGAGGCCCCGTTGCGGTACTCGTGCAGCAGCATGGCGAACTGCTGGATCTCCTGCGAGGACAGCTTGGTGCGGAGCTGCGGGGACAGCACGGCCCTCAGGGCACCTGGTGGGGGCTGGGGGCCTTGGGCACGGCCCTGGCAGGGCCAGGAACCCCCTGGGATGCAGGGGTGAGCTGTGGGGCACGAGGGGCACGAGGGGCGCGAGGGGACTTGGGTGCTGGGAAAGGGAAAAGTGAGGTGGGGATGCTCCTGTGGGAGAAGCAGAGACCCAGAGGAGGCTCCAGGGCTGGAGCCAGGCTGGGAGAGCTGGGAATGTTCCTCTGGAGAAGGGAAAGATCCAGGGAGAGCTCAGAGCCCCTTGCAGGGCCTGAAGGGGCTCCAGGAGAGCTGGAGAGGGACTGGGGACAATGATGGAGGGACAGGACACAGGGAATGGCTCCCACTGGAAAAGTGGTGACTTAGATGGGACATGGGACAAAATTCTTGGCTGGGAGGGTAGTGAGGGACTTGAGTGGATTTCCCAGAGCAGCTGTGGCTGCCCCACCCATGGGAGTGCCCCAGGGCAGGCTGGATGGGACTTGGAGCAGCCTGGGATGGTGGAAGGTGTCCCTGCCATGGCAGGGGGTGGGTTGGGATCATCCTTACGGCTCCTCTCTACCCAAACCACCCCATGATTCCACGACATGGGGCCACGATCAGACCCTCTGAGCCCTGTCCCTCCCTCAGGGGCCTGACCCCGGTCCCCACCGTCATCATGTAGTCCTGGAGCAGCTCGGTGGCCGTGGTGCTGAGCTCGCTCTCGCTGGCCGTGGTGACGTGTGGGGACGGGAGTGCTGAGAAGGAGGACGGGGACGTGTCCCCCGCTTCCAGCGTGTCTGCAAAGGAACTGACAGCCAGCACGGCTGAGTCTCCTCGGGGTGCTGCTGGGGTGTTTGGGTGCCTTGTGCACGGCCAGGAGTCGGACCTGATCCTTGGGGTGCCTCCCCACCCAGGACAGTCCATGATCTGGGAGCCCCCAGCTCCTGAGGGCACCCCAAGGCTCCCAGGGAGCTGAACACTGCTTTGGTGACAGCAGTGAAACCCTCTGTGGGGAATTATCCCTCACTGGGAAAAATCCCCACACTCCCTACCTTGGGCTTAAATGTGCAATTTTCAGTCAGGTTCCCAATTCCCCCATGTTAAACACTCCTATTTATGTTGGCTATTCCCAGAGGATTGTTAACCTGCTGTTTGTGTGTTAGGATTTCATCCCAACAGCAAACACTGTTGGTGTTTCCAGTGCTCCAGGAGGGAGAAGCTTCCAAGATAAGAAGTTTTTTTGGGAAAACCCTTCTCCCAGCTCCAGGGTGACTCCACACCATGCTGACACTGAGCTGGCTGTGGCTGTGACTCCGCAATGCTGAGGGCAGAACAATCCAGGCCCAGCAGGACCCGTGCCAACCCCCCTGGACAGGACCCGTGCCAACCCCCCTGGACAGGACCCGTGCCAACCCCCCTGGACAGGACCCGTGCCAACCCCCCCGGGCCCGGCCGGGCTCAGCTGAGCTTTCCCGGGTGCTGAGGGCAGCAGACCCGGGCTAATCCCGGCCCCAGGGCCACGGATCACTCACAAAGTGCTGGCATCTGCCTCGAAGGGCTCCTTCACGTCCACTTTGGTGGAAGAGTCATCTGCAGGGGAAAAAATGTGGGAGATGGAATGTGAGAGGCACAAACTCGGCGTCTTCCCGAGCCACAAAGGAAGGGAGAGACACAAAGTGATTCCTGACTTGGCCGGAGGGAGAAAGGCAGGAATGAAGTGGGTAAGAGGAGACAGCCTCAGGCTGTGCCAGGGGAGGTGAGGCTGCATCTCAGAGAGATTCCTTCATGGAAAGGGCGGTCGGGCATTGGAACAGGATGCCCAGGGAGGGGTGGAGTTCCCATCCCTGTGGATGTGACACCTGGGGACATGGTGGCCTTAGCAGGGCTGGGGGCTGGGTGGGTTCAGGGGTTCCTGATGCTTTCCCAGCCCCAGCCACTCCTGGCTGTGTCCCTGGGGAGGTGCAGGATGGGCTCGGGGGGCTCCTGAGGCGTTCCCAGCCCCAGCCACTCCCAGCTGTGGCCCTGGGGAGGCACTGGGTGGGCTCAGGAGGTTCCTGAGGCTTTCCCAGCCCCAGCCATGCCCGGCTCTGTCCCTGGGTGGGTTCAGGGGGTTCCTGAGGCATTCCCAACCCCAGCCACTCCTGCCTGTGGCCCTGGGGAGGTGCAGGGTGGGCTCAGGGGGTTCCTGAGGCTTTCCCAACCCCAGCCACTCCCGGCTGTGGCCCTGGGGAGGCACTGGGTGGGCTCGGGGGGCTCCTGAGGGGTTCCCAACCTCAGACACTCATGGCTGTGGCTGTGTGTGGCCCTGGGGAGGTGCAGGGTGGGCTCAGGGTGGTTCCTGAGGCTTTCCCAACCCCAGCCATGCCCAGCTGTGTCCCTGGGGAGGCACTGGGTGGGCTCGGGGGGCTCCTGAGGCGTTCCCAGCCCCAGCCACTCCCACCTGTGGCCCTGGGGAGGTGCAGGATGGGCCCAGGGTGGTTCCTGAGGCTTTCCCAGCCCCAGCCACTCCCAGCTGTGGCACTGGGTGGGCTCAGGGGGTTCCTGAGACTTTCCCAGCCCCAGCCCCTCCCGGCTCTGTCCCTAGGCAGGCAGGGTGGCAGCAGCAGCCCCGGGCACAGACACGCACCGCTGTGCAGGGACAGGTGCCGCGTGGGCGTCGAGGCTCCGTCGAAGATGGCGCGGTCCAGGAAGTCGATGGTGGACTCGGTGTAGACGATCTGGAAGACCTGGCTGAGCAGGGAGCACAGCTCCTCGGCACCCACCTGGGAAGGAGCAGGGAGCTGTGGCAGGCCCCACGCAGGGATGGACATCCCCCTCTCCCTGTGGCTCTGTGGGTGGGTGTCATCCCCCAGGAGGGCAGGGCTGGCAGAGCCCAGCTCCATTGCCCTGCCAGCATTCCCACCCGCAGCAGGAGCTGGGATGCTCCAGCATCACCCCAGAGCCCCCCACGTTCTGTGCTGGGGCTCCTCCGTGCAGCTCCCTGGGATTTGGGCTGATCCCAGAGGGGTGCAGATGTCAGAGCTGGGAATGAGGGGATGAAGCTCCACCCTCAGCGGAGATCAGAGAGGCTGAGCCTGGAATCCCTGGATCCAGACACTGCATGAAACAAATTCCCAGTCAGCACAGGGAAAACACCCCGATCAGCAAATCCCTTTTGTGGGATTGTCCTCGTGGGTTCTGTGCTGCTGCAGAAGGCTCCGGGCAACAGGGACCAAGGGAAACGCTTCCTGGAGACCCTCCTGTGTCCCAGGAGCCCTTCTCCAGGTGCTCCAGCAATGCCCAACCACACCTGACACCCTAAATCTGCGTCCCACAGGTGAGGGAGCGGGGAAGGACCCCGATGCACCACAGGACGTGGCCGTGGTGGCGTTTGTGGCTGCACCATCAGCACGGTCCCAGAGGCAGCCACCTCCCAGCGATGCTGTGACTCTGAGGCCGGGCTGGGGCGGGGGCAGTGCCTTACCTTGCTCTCCGTGGCCAGGACCACCAGGCAGCAGCACTCCAGGGGCCCCCCCGCGCTCTCCGACAGCGAGCCCGACGTCAGCGCCTTGGAGCCCTCGGCACACAGGCTCTGGCTGGGCGAGATCCCGGGATCCTGAGCTGAGGGGAGAGCAGAGGTGAGGGGAGAAGTCCTGCAGGGGAGGAAGAGCCCTGAAGCAGCAGAATGGGATGAAAACCCTCCAGTTTGGAGCTGGTTTGGACAGCAGTCCGGCTGTTTTCACAGTGCAGAGTTTCCCCAGATTTCCAGCCCCTGGGGCATTTATTCCTTTATTCCACAGCCTATCCATGAAATTTTTACTCAGATAAACCCCTGGCTCAGCCCTCCCCAGCTCCCAGTTCCCAAACCATGCAGACGTGACATGCAGAGAGCTGCACAGGGAATCGGGAGTGTCATAGTTTGACACGGGAAGAGAAATTTTTTTTGGAAGGAACGTGTGACATTAGAAACACAAGAGGTGGCAGCTGTGTTTCCTGGGGGTCTATGGTGCAAGGGGGACTCCTCTCTTCCCCGATAGACTCACTATTGATTATATTGAAGGGTGAAAACTTAATTAAGGATCCAAATGAGTCTCGCTGGAGTTTGGTGGAGTTGGGTGGAGGGAGGAGAAATGTTTTGGAAGGTTTTCATTTCGAATTTTGTGTGGTTTTTTTTCTTTCCTTTCTTTTCCTTTTATAGTAGTAGTAGTAGTGTAATAAAGTGTTTCCTTTGTTATTAAGTTTGGCCTGCTTTGCTCTGTTCTTGATCACATTTCACAGCATTTGATTGGTAAGTTGTATTTTCATGGGGCGCTGGCATTGTGCCAGCGTCAAACCATGACAGGGAACGAGGTGTCATGGAATGCTTTGTGTTGGAGAGACCTCAAAGACCACCCCTGCCATGGACAGGGACACCTCCCATGTCCAGGTGGTCCCCAGGGGGACAATCCCAACGCCACGGCCACAGCTCACCTGTCTTGAGCACCACCAGGTGTGCGGAGTTGTCGCGGATGTAGGACACGGAGGCGATGTCGTGGATGGGCACCCTGAGGATCAGGTCCTCCCCGTCCCTCCACACCAGCTTGATGTTGTAGGCAGAGAGGCTGATGACGGCGTCGTGCTCCGGGCTCAGCTGCCCCGGGAGCTGGTGGGCTCTCTGCAACACCAGGATTCACAGGGATTTACTCTTGGAAGGAGCTGAAGGATTCCCCAGCTCCCTGCTGTGGCCAGGGACACCTTCCACTGTCCCCAGCTGCTCCCCATCCACCCTGGTGCGGGGAATTTCCAGGGATGGGGCCACAGCTTCTCTGGGAAACCCTCACCGGGGTGTTTCCCCTCTGGAACAGGACCCTGGGAAGCTCCTCAGCCTGGATTTGTACCAGCCCAGCGCTCACCTTGGCGTTGTCGATCAGGTGCAGGATCTCGGAGCGGCTGGAGGGGTTCAGGTATCCCGGGATGGAAGTGAGCTGCCCTAAATACTGGGACAGAAGAGCCAAACCGTCACCACAGCACAAACACGACCCAGAATGAGCCACAGAGACGCTCCAAGGAAAACTGGAGATGGCTGAGAGGTGGGAATGTCCAAAAAGGAGCCCCACAGAAACCTCAGAGCCTCTTCCAGTGCCTAAGGCGCTGCAGGAGAGCTGCAGAGGAGCTCTGGACAAGGGGGAACGGGCTCCTGCTGCCAGCTGGGATATTGGGAAGGCATTCCCAAGGAGCAGGGACCCCGTGGGTACCTTGACTTCCTTCTCGATGTAGTCGTGGAGCAGCAGGTCGGGCTCCACGCGGTCGGGGAGCGCCACCAGCACCGTGTGCAGCGGCCGCCGCTCCGTCACCTTCTCCTGAGCCTTCTTGTCCCGGCCCTTCTCCCCCTTCAGGAACACTCGCTTGAACGGGGACACGATTCCAGGCTGGGGAGAGGAACGGGAGCAGCAGGATCAGGGTGAGAAGGGGTCTGGCAGCCCCTCAATCCCACCCTGCTGCTTTTGCCCCATGCACAACGCTCGGTTTGGAGCTATAAATCCGTGGCTTTCCAGAGAAAACCCTTCTCCTGGGACACACACAGCTGCTGAGCGTTCCCACTACCAAAATACAGTGATTTCCCCCCAAAGTCACCGTGTAAAACCTTCCAGGTAAGAGAACTACAACTCTTATATATTCCAGGTGAACAGCGCAGCCAGAGGGACTCTCCGTGGTTTTGTACCTCCCTGAGGAGCTGACAGGGCAACTCAACAAGGAATGCCAAAGAAACAGGCAGGAATGTTCCACGGAGACCCCAAACAATGAGAAAGTGGATTTCCCTGGGAAAAATGGGAGATTCCAAACCCTGAAGTGCCAGGTTTGGGAAATGGAGCCAACACAGAGCTGTCCTTCGGCACGGGAATGCCACGTGGATCCCACCAAGCTCCACAGCAGGTAAATGACTGGGAACATCCCCCAGCTGCTCCAATTCCAGGTGTCCCAGGGCGAGGGGGTGTTTGGAGCATCCACAGCTGGACTGAAGAACTCCTTGAGGAACTCCTGTGTCCCATTCCCTGGTGGGCTCTGCTTCCCACCCCCAGCACGGCCACATCCTGATTTTCCTGATCCTCAGGGCAAGGGACAGGAATGTGGGATCTGAAGGGGACACAACATGCTTCCAGTGGTGGATTAATTAACTAAAAAGCAAGGAAAAGCTGCTGGGACAATGGGAATTGTCCCCATTGGGACATTGGGGACAGCCCGGCCTGGAAAACCATCCCCTGGATCAGGGAGACAGAGGACAGAGAGGAAAGAGCTCCCCAGCCCTGCCTCAGGAGCAGCAGGGTGGATTTTTGGGAAGCATCCAGAAGGACCCCACCATCCTTGATCAGGGTATTCCATCATCCTGCCGAGGGGCTCTGCAGGGAAGGGAATCCTGGACACAACAACAGCTTTGAGATGTCCCACCCCAAATCCTGCCTGCCAATGCCCAGGGATGCATTTCCACAGGAATCCTTCAGGAATTCACAGCAGAGCAACGCAGGAATGTGCCACCGGGCCTGAGGCTGTACCCAGGCACTTCCCCCTCCGCCAGGCAGGATCCAGACCCACCCCAAGCCAGAGGAACCCCCTTTTCCCCCCAGGAAGGGCTGCACCCCGAGGGCTGGGCTGATTCCGTGCTCCCTGGGGCACTCCAAACCCCCGGGGGAGGCGCCTCCGGTGTGACGCAGCCCAAAACTGCTCCTGCTTTGGGGCACCCCAAAGCCCAGCACCCACCTCGTCCTCCATGGACCCCCTGGCAGAGCAGGAGGGAGCTGTGCTGGGGGGGCTGCAGGAGCTGGGGGGCTGCAGGCGATGGGGGAACGCTCCCCTCGTTTTGGGGTGCTGCTGTCGAGGCGCTCGGGGCCAGGAAGTGCCACGGTTTCCTCTGCCCCACGTGACAGAGGGGGCTGGGCAGGGACCCACGGCGGCCACGAGGCTGTTCCCTGCTCCCCAAAATCCCTGGCAACACCCAAAAACCCTTCACCCTCTGCCCCAGCCCGGGGGGATGTCCCTGTGCCAAGGGAGGCTGAGCCCAGAGTTCTTCTGTTCCAACACCCAGCTGGATCCCACAGCAATTCCCAATCCTAAAGGTCCCACAGCCCACTGAGCCCGTGGGCTGGGAGCAGCTGGGGCAGGGGAAGCTCCTCCAGCAGCCCAATTCCCAATCTCCCAGCAGATCCATACAGACACTCCAAAAATCCACTCCATCCCACAGAGCAGCAGCTCCAGGCCCTGGTGCTGCTGGAGCTGGGGCAGCTCTGCAGCTGGGGTCTCACCTGAGGGCCACAATCCCCATTTCCTGCTGCCCACACTGGGCTGGAAATGTGGGATAACGAAGGAATTTCAAGAATTTCCCCCAAAGATGCAACCCCAAGCTCAGCAGCTCTTTGTTTGAGGAGGGAAATGCTGGAGCAGCTGCTGGGAGAGGCAGATGGCACCAGGCTCAGCTCTGCAGGGCCTCCCTGAGCTGGAAAAGCTGGGAATTTCACCTGACAGCTGCCTGCACAGGGAATTCCCTCAGGGAAACCCTGCCAGCTTCGGATCCTGGCGTGGATTGTGGAGTCAGAGCAGCAGGGAGATCACTCCCAGAAAATTCTCCTTCCTGGGAATCAGCAAGCTGGAGCATCCATCCATCCTCCCCTGAGGCTCCAGGTGTGACACCAAGCCCAGCAGGTTCCTGAATTCCTGGTGGATCCATCCTGCCTCCCAGAACTCGTGGGGAATGTTATTCCATCCCAGGACAGCTCCCTTCCCGCTGGGATGACCACCACTGAGAGCCAGGGCTGAAGGAATTCCAGGCCTCCACTTGAAACCAGGTGGGATTTTATCCCCAGGCTGGGATTTTCCTCCTTATCCCAACCAAACCTGCCCTGAACTTCCTTTGGATCAGCTCAGAGTGCTGCTGGAACGATGCACAGAGCGGGAGAAGAGTTCTCCCTGCAGCTGAGGAACACAAGGATGGATCTTCCCATCTCTGCAGCAGCTTTTCCAGCTCTGTGATCCACAGGCAGCAGCTCCAAGGGTTAATTAACACCAAACCCATGGAAAAGCTGCTCCAAGGAAGCTCCACGAGGCCACAGGCGGGTGCCAGCTCAGCCCTGCTCCAGAGGGACCAGGGAGGAGGGAGGATCCAGAGCCCCAGGGGAGCCACACCTGAGCTCTGCCCAAACCCCCTGGAGCAGCACCATCCCGAAAATCCCTCCTGGAGTGGTGACATGAGGGTTTAATTCCCAAACCTGCCTGTCTGGGAAGCCTGGAGGGCAATGACATGAGGGTTTAATTCCCAAACCTGCCTGTCTGGGGAGCCTGGAGGGCAATTCCCCACAAAATCTCACTCATTCTGGAACGCTTTGCTCAGCTCCAGCAGGAACCCGCTGCCCAGGGGCTCCCAAAATCTCCAGTTTCTCCCCAAAAGGACGGATCACACCCACCCTCCTGCTGCAGGCTCAGGCTGAGCCTCCCCCAGGACACAGAAATGGGCTGGAAAGAGCAAAATTGGGGCAACACGGGCTCGGCTGGAGCTGCTGAGCCCCGAGACACAATGACGGCATCAATTAATGCATGAATGAATTAAATTAATCCGCAGCAGTAATAATTTAAATAAATTAGGAAACTCATAAATTAATCCCTCCGTAACTAATACCCCCATCGATTGATAACCTTCTCTGAGCCCTCAGGCACAGGAGGAGGTTCTGGGCTGGGGGCTCTGGGCAGGACCCGGGACGGGGATGCGGGAACGGTCCCGGGAAGGGGATGCGGGAACGGTCCCGGGAAGGGGATGCGGGAACGGTCCCGGGAAGCGGCAGCCGGTGGCTCCCGGTAAGGCGCTCTGGAACAGCCCCGGGAGGGGATCGGGTACCGCCGGGGGGCTCCGAGCCGGGGCCGGGGGCGGACCCGCCCCCCTCGGGGGGCACAGCGCGGCCCCGGCTGCCCCTCGGGCCCCGTTCTCACCTTCTTGCCCTTCTTGCCCTCCTCCTCCATTGGTCCGGCGGCGGCCCGGGCCCCCCCCGGGGCATCCCGGCCCGGCTGAGCGGCGGGGCCTCAACGCGCGGCGGCGGCGGCGGCCATGGCGCGCCCGGTTCCCGCTCCAGCCCCGCCTCCCAGTCCCGATCCCGGTCCCGGTCCCGGTCCCGGTTCCCCTTCCCGGTCCCGGCGCCGCCTCAGCGCCCACGGCTCGGCCCCGCCGCCATCTTGGGCGGCGCCTTCCCGTGACGTCATCGTGCCGCCGCCGGGGGGAGACGAGCGCAGTGCGCCTGCGCCAAGCGGTCGGTGCCCCAAGCCACGCCCTCCGCCGGCAAACCCCGCCCACCACCGTTTGACCACGCCTCTTTGTGATGTCATATCATGACATCATGACACACACCCCGCCTCAGGCCACGCCCCCTCGCTGGCCCTGCCCACCAGCGCTCTTCCCGCGCTGCCCTTTCTTCCGTGACGTCATCACGAGGCGCCCGCTCCCTCAGCCATGGCCGCCGCAGCAGCCGGTGAGGGGCTCCGTGGCCCGCGCGCATCCGCCGCCATCCGCCGCCGCTGCTGCCTCCCGGGCTCCCCGCCCATCAGACCCCGCCGCGGTACGTTGCGGGCAGGGCCGTCCCGGGGAACCGAGGCCGCCCCGGGAGCGGATTCCCGCCGCAGGCTCCAGCATGGCGGGGCCTGCCGTGGCCCCTGCCATTCCTGCAGCGCTGCCAGAACATCCCGGGGCCGTTTGAGGCCGCGCCCGGCGCTTCCCGGGGGCGGTCATAGGAGCCCCGGACACGGCCGGGCTGGGGAGGAGCTCGGTGGGACTTGGGGGGGCTGCGGGGAAAGCCCCGGCACGGCGGGGCCGGTGACATTGCTGCTTTTCCCCGTTCCAGGCTCCTGCTGCGCGGATCCAGAGGGACTCAGGAAGCCGCCAGGAAGAAGAAAGTACATTCAAGGGACCTAGCACCGTAATTAGCGCGGTTCCGGTTAATTAAGGCTACCGAGGCCTCGCCCCTCGTCTGCCAGGGGAGAAATTCCATGGGAATGCCGTGACTGAGACACGGAGCTCCGTCCTGGCAGGAGTTACCTGTCGGCAGCAGTGCCCAGGTGAGGCTGCGGGGCTGGAATACCGCGGAATGTCGGGGACATCGGCTCCCTGCTGTCACCGTGGGCAGCGGGGCCACGTTCCTGGGCTGTCCCCGTGTCCCCCCGGTTCCTGCCGCCGCAGGCTCCAGCGTGGGGGGGCCTGCCGTGGCTCCCACCATTCCTGCAGCGCTGCCAGAGCGTCCCGGGGCCGTTTGAGGCCGCTCCCGGTGCCTCCCGGGGGCGGTTATGGAAACCCCGGACACGGGAACGGCGGGGCAGGGGCAGCAGGGCCGGTGACATTCCTGATTCTGATCCCTGGGGCCTTTCCCATTGCAGGCTCATTCCGTGGGGAGTGTAATTAACTGTGTTCTGGTTAATGAGCGCTGGCAGCACGAGGTGTCACCGCCATTATCCCACAGGGATCTGTCCAGAGGCACGGAAGGAGAGGCCAGAGCACCGTGGCAAATTCCCTGTGGAAAAACGAGGAGGATTCTCGACACCAGAATCGAATTAAACATGACCCCGTGGTTTTAACGTGCTTTGATTCCAAAGTTTTTTTATTTCCTGTTTCTGGTAAAAAGGGATAGAAATGGGGATTCAGGGGAAAAAGATGCTCCAGGCTCCACCCCATGTCCCCTGGGTCACCTGGGCTGGCTGTCCCCATATGCCAGGCTCAGCTGTCCCCATTTCCCCGAGCCAGTGTCCCCAAGTCCTCGTGTCCTGGTGTCCCTTGTCCCCGAGCTCATCTCCTGTGCCCTCAGTGCCGCTCCCTGGCTGGGTGTTGCTGGGCCAGGACAGTGACACGGGATCCTGAAGCTGCTGAGGAGCTGCTCCTCTGCCACAACCCATCAGAGAGCTCCGCTAATGACTCAAACAATTAGATGAGTGCATCAATTAACGGAGCAGACAGTTATGTCAGCGGGTTAAAGGGGCAGAACGCTGTCCCTGACGCCACCGAGGCGTCCTGGAGCCCTGAATGCACACCGGGACGCTGCGGGGCCGGGAGGTGTGCAGGAGGGTAATTAACGCGGTGATTAATTAGCGGCGGGCTGGGGAGAGGCTGGGCGCGGCGGTTGCCATGACAACCGCGCCGTTTCCGGGGCGTGGCTTCTCCGTGACAACACCAATCAGCGAGCGAGGCGTCCCCATGGCAACAGCGCTTGTCCCGCCCCGAGTGGGCGTGGCCACGCCATCACCCTTTGTGGGGCGGGGCGTTGCCATGGGAACGGGACCGGAAGTGCGGCCGGGCTCGGAGCCCCGCGGACTCGCTTTCCCGTGAGCCCCCGCGCGCGCTTCCGGCGGGCCGGGCCGGGCCGTACCGGGAGCGCACCGGGAACGGGCCGGGCCGGGCCGGGCCGTGCCGGGATGGAGGCCGTGCCCCGCATGCCCATGATCTGGCTCGACCTCAAGGAGGCCGGGGAGTTCGCCTTCAACGCCGCCGTCAAGAAGGTGGGGCCGGGCGAGGCCCGGCGGGGCGGGGGCTGGGGGCTGGGAGGGGTCGGGAGGGAGCCCGGGGAGGCACCGGGGGAACGGGGGGAACGGGGCAGGCGGTGCCGGGGGGTCCCTGGAGCCGCCGGGGGCTGGAGCTTTGGCTCGCCGACCCCCCTGCCCCGAGCTGCCGCCGTGTCCCTGCCGCCCCCGCTGGGCCTGGTTAATTAGTCACTTAATTAACGGCTGTAACAAGCTCCAGCCTGTCCGGCCCTTGCTGTGCCCCTCAGTTTGTGGGTGGGGGGCACTGGGGGGCTCCGGGGCGGTTGTGTCGCTCCCTCCCCGGGAGTGTCCCGGGCGTGCCCACCGCGGGGCCGGGGGCGCCTTCCCGGTGCCCGTAAGTGCCTTTTCCACCCTCAGCCCTTCCCGATCCCATCCTGGAGCCATGCCCCGCTCCCGTTCCCCGCTGCCATTTCTGATCCCGTTCCCAGCTCCCATTCCCCGATCCCATTCCCGGAGCCATGCCCCGCTCCCGTTCCCCGATCCCATACCTGATCCCGTTCCCCGATGCCATCCCTGATTCCCGGTGCCCGTTTCCCGGTGCCCGTTTCCCGGTGCCCATTCCCTGCTATCCCGTTCCCCGCTCCCGTTCCCCGGTGCCATTACCGCTCCCACTCCCCGCTCCCGTTCCCCGATGCCATTTCTGATCCCGTTCCCCGCTCCCGTTCCCTGATCCCATCCCTGATTCCCTGTGCCCGTTCCCCGGTGCCCACTCCCTCCTATCCCGTTCCCCGCTCCCGTTCCCCGGTGCCATTACCGCTCCCGTTCCCCGCTCCCGTTCCCCGCTCCCGTTCCCCGTGCCCATTCCCTGCTCCCATTCCCCACTTCCATCCCCTCCTATCCCGTTCCCGCTCCCGTTCCCGATGCCATTCCCCGCTCCCATTCCCGTTCCCTCTCCCGTTCCCGGTGCCATTCCCCACTCCCATTTCCCACTCCCATTCCCGGTGCCATTCCCCGCTCCCCGATCCCGTTCCCGGTGTCATTCCCCGCTCCTATTCCCACTCCCACTCCCCGCTCCCACTCCCAGTGCCATTCCCCGTTCCCGGTGCCTTTCCCACTCCCCGATCCTGTTCCCGGTGCCATTCCCCGCTCCCATTCCCGTTCCCACTCCCCGCTCCCGTTCCCACTCCCCGATCCCGTTCTCACTCCCCGTTCCCACTCCCCGCTCCCGTTCCCGGGCCGCCCGCGGGTGTCCGTCCCGCCCCTCCCGCCGCTGTCCCGCCGCTGCGGGAGCCGGTGCGGCCGCTGAGCCTCTGCCGCCCGCAGTTCGTGCTGAAGAACTATGGGGAGAACCCGGAGAGCTACAACGAGGAGCTGCGGAAGCTGGAGCTGCTCCGGCAGGTGAGGGCACCCCGGGGTGGCCCTGGGGGGACAGGGACGGCTCCCCAAACCTGGGGGGACAGGGACAGCTCCTGGGGTGGCCCTGGGGGGACAGGGACGGCTCCTGGGGTGGCCCTGGGGGGACAGGGACGGCTCCTGGGGTGGCCCTGGGGGGCAGGGACGGCTCCTGGGGTGGCCCTGGGGGGACAGGGACAGCTCCTGGGGTGGCCCTGGGGGGCAGGGATGGCTCCCCAAACCCGGGGGGGCCCAGACACCCCCAGGACACCCCAATCCCGTGGCTGTCCCGGCCCTGGGAGCTGTGCTGGGGGTGCAGAGCCGCGTTTTGCTGCCCTGCTCCCCCCAATCCATAAGGAGCTCCCCCAGGCTCATTTTTGGGAGAACTCGGCTGTTCCCGAGGCTTTCCCGGAGCCCATCCCGAGCATGGGACTGGCTCCGGCCTCCCCTGAGGGACAGCTGCTGTTCCTGCCTGGAGCAGCAGTGCCCAGAGCCTCTTCCTCCTCCTCTTCCTCCTCCTCTTCCTCCTCCTCTTCCTCCTCTCTCTTCCTCCTCTCTCTTCCTCCTCTCTCTTCCTCCTCTCTCTTCCTCCTCCTCTCTCTTCCTCCTCCTCTCTCTTCCTCCTCCTCTCTCTTCCTCCTCCTCTTCCTCCTCCTCCCAGAGCGCCGTCAGCGTCCCCAGGGACTTTGAGGGCTGCAGCACCCTGCGCAAGTACCTGGGGCAGCTGCATTTCCTGCAGAGCCGCATCCCCATGGGCCAGGGCCAGGAGGCGGCCGTGCCCGTCACCTGGTGAGGAGGGGGCTGGCATGGGGGGAATTGGGATTGGGGGGGCTGGGATGGGGGGCTGGGCCAGGCAGGATGTGGCCATGCCCACCCCTTGGGGAGGGGCTGCTCAAGGAACCCCCTGGGAATGGGGTCCTGGCCAGGGTGGCACTGGGGGATCCCAGGGGACCTTTGGGGATTGGGGTCCCTCCTGGGGTGGCACTGGGGGGGTCCCAGGGGACCTTTGGGGAATGGGGTCCTGGCCAGGGTGGCACTGGGGTGGCCCTGTGCTGTCCTGGGGAATGGGGTCCTGCTTGGGGTGGCACTGGGGGGGTCCCAGGGGACATTTGGGGAATGGGGTCCTGGCCACGGTGGCACTGGGGGGTCCCAGGGGACCTTTGGGGAATGGGGTCCCTCCTGGGGTGGCACTGGGGGGGTCCCAGGGGACCTTTGGGGAATGGGGTCCCTCCTGGGGTGGCACAGGGGGGTCCCAGGGGACCTTTGGGGAATGGGGTCCGTCCTGGGGTGGCACTGGGGGGGTCCCAGGGGACCTTTGGGGAATGGGGTCCTGGCCAGGGTGGCACTGGGGTGGCCCCAGGGGTGGCCCCGTGCTCTCCTGGGGAATGGGGTCCCTGCCTGGGGTGGCACTGGGGGGGTCCCAGGGGACATTTGGGGAATAGGGTCCTGCCTGGGGTGGCCCCAGGGGTGGCCCCATGCTGTCCTGGGGAATGGGGTCCCTCCTGGGATGGCACTGGGGGTCCCAGGGGACCTCTGGGGAATGGGGTCCCTCCTGGGGTGGCACTGGGGGATCCCAGGGGACCTTTGGGGAATGGGGTCCTACCTGGGGTGGCACAGGGGGGGGCCCAGGGGACCTTTGGGGAATGGGGTCCTGGCCAGGGTGGCACTGGGGGGGTCCCAGGGGACCTTTGGGGATTGGGGTCCCTCCTGGGGTGGCACTGGGGGGGTCTCAGGGGACCTTTGGGGAATGTGGTCCTGCCTGGGGTGGCACTGGGGGGTCCCAGGGGACCTTTAGGGAATGGGGTCCTGGCCAGGATGGCACAGGGGGGGTCCCAGGGGACCTTTGGGGAATGGGGTCCCTCCTGGGGTGGCACTGGGGGATCCCAGGGGACCTCTGGGGAATGGGGTCCCTCCTGGGGTGGCACTGGGGGGTCCCAGGGGACCTTTGGGGAATGGGGTCCTGCCTGGGGTGGCACTGGGGGATCCCAGGGGACCTTTGGGGAATGGGGTCCTGGCCAGGGTGGCACTGGAGTGGCCCCAGGGGTGGCCCCAGGGGTGGCCCTGTGCTGTCCTGGGGAATGGGGTCCCTCCTGGGGTGGCACTGGGGGGTCCCAGGGGACCTTTGGGGAATGGGGCCTGGGGATGGGGATCTCAGGATCCCTTGTGGAACGGGGTTCCCAGTAATTCCTGCTCCTGGGAGAACCCCTGCTTGCTCCCTGTCCTGTGCCCCTGCCCCCCAGGACCGAGATCTTCTCGGGCAAGGCGGTGACACACGAGGACATCAAGTACGAGCAGGCCTGTGTCCTCTACAACCTGGGTGAGCCCCCCAAGTCCTGCAGCTCTGGGGCTCCCTGGGGTGGCCCTGCCCCGCTGAGCCCCCCTGTCCCCACAGGAGCTCTGCATTCCATGCTGGGAGCCATGGACAAGCGCGTGTCCGAGGAGGTAACGGGGACGCAGGTGGCACCGGGCAGTGCCAGCTGGGGGTGACAGGGCTGTCCCCAGGCTGTCCCCAGGCTGTCCCCAGGCTGGTCAGGGGCTGGGCAGGGGCTGGGCTGTCCCTGTGCTGGGCAGGGTTGTCCCCAGGCTGTCCCCAGGCTGTCCCCAGGGTGTCCCCAGGCTGTCCCCAGGCTGGGCACTGGTCACTGGCAGAACCTGGGGTCTCTGGGCTGTCCAGCTACAGGACATCGAGGGGTGTCTGGGGAAGGGGTGGAGCAC